AAGACCCCTTGCAGACACACTGGTATCTCAGTAGGGTTCTCTTGCCATTTTTTTCCACTGGAACCAAATCTGGTCACGTGAAACTGGTAACAAGTTTTGCCAGCCCCTGATAATACAATTCAAGGTGGTTTGTGGTTCTTCTGAGTATGTCAGGCTGCTCTGAGAACAAGTAGGAAACTTCTTGATACAGGCAATGTGCCCTTCTGTAAGCCAGCTTTCCCAGGTAGCTGTTAGCAGACATGATAGATACTGGTAGTCCTTGCTTAATGACCAATCCCTTAGTGACTATTATAAGTTAAGATGGACCTTCCCAGAGCTATTTACAACCCAATTTTCCAGCAGCCAAAAAACACTTACTGCCCATGGTCATGTGTTCATATTTTGAATGGTAATTGGCTTGCATTTGTGGCTGTTCACATGACCACAGTTTTTGGTGATTTTTGCCAATTTCTGACAAAAAAAACATTGGAAAAAATTGGTTTGCTTAACGACCATCACATTCTCTAAACAACCTCTACATTCATTTAAAGACTGCCACAAAAAAGGTTGTAAAATTGTGTGTGGTCACAATACCATGCTTTATGACCATAATTACAGGCTCAATTACAGTTGCAAATTGAGGATTATCTGTCATAAAAAAATGCAGGAGAGAGGTGGGAGGAACTAAAATTGAAATAGTGCTACCCCACAGTACCTCTATTGAAGAAAGTTTTTCCATCTTTTGACTAAACCGACATACAAACCCCATGTTAATTAAAATATTTTAACAAGATCTTTAATTAAAATCTTTAAACAAGATTCTCCTACAAGTGATGCAAAGAATTTCCTGAAAGCAAGTCATTCAGGCCAGTTTATTCAGAGGTCAGTTTAAAAAAACAGGGGGTGGGGTAGTGATGTGGTCAATACAGCTACTGAGGGGCAAGGCTTCATTACCTTGCATTACACAATGTTCTTTCCATGAGGTCAAAAGCTGGATAAATTATACAAAGTAGTTAATCAATAGGAGCAATGATTGCATAATGCGCTCCTCTGCAAAATTCAGATGTTTTTGGTGACAGATTTTGAAATACAGCATTCATATACTTCTAGCTATCACTGCATGAAATACCCAACTTTATCATGCACATCCTTCCCTGAGCATTAAGTGTTGCAAAGACATGATAGGGTTGACTATCACATAACCAGAGACTGCAATTGACAACTTTTCCATGGCATCAGATCTGTTGGGTGTAAGACCGTATGGCCTGGAGAGGAAGTGGCATTGGATGAAAAGAGCTGACCAGAACTTTCTGAGGTCACCTCAAGTACCTTTGGTATTAATCCTTCATCCTTTGGAATCCCAAGTTGCATTAACCAATTGTTTATACCTCATTTGTCAGGCAGCCTAATTATTACCAGTCAGCACAAGCCTGTTTAAGGGCCTGTACCTGGGTGAAAATGGAAATTTAAGAGCAAGCTTCTTCTAAGACTTGGCTAAAGCTGAACTAATAGGTCCTTATACAGCCACAGAGATAGTGACTTTGAATACATGCTTTGCATACAGTATAAACAGAGAAAGAAACCAATGGTACCAAATGGTCTGCCTTGAGAAGAACTTCTGGCAATCCTTGTGCAATTCTAGTCCTAACAGGATCTGCTATCTGTGATAAAGGACAAGAGGCTGCTGCTTCCAAGGCCATCTGCAGAAATGGGTGGAATTGGACCAGCATGAGTCATGGAGCCATGTCCTAGAGAATACATAACCAGAGGTTTAGAGGAAGTCTAGGAAAGGTGGGGAAGAATGTGGTCCCCCAATAGAAGGACATAGTTGGGGAGTCCAGGAGGAACAGCAAAGAGGACGCTCCTGCTGGTTCACCTCACTTCCACCACTCCTTGTCTGTGGTCTTAATTTCCTCCTTCTGCCAGATGGTAGATCTGGCTTAGGAAGCAGTGTAAATTGCAGGGTTTCCTACAGGGTAATTTGTAGGATATTGGGAGTGGAAGTACAATGGTATCTTGGTACTCAGTTATTTTGAAATTCATCAAATTTGGTACTCAAAGCATTTTGATGTGAAAATGTTGTCCCGGTACTCATTGTTTTGTTTGGTACTCAACACACAAGCTAGAACTTGTCGGTGTCTGCTAGCTTATGACTCACTACATTATTCCTTAAGGGGAAAATTAATCATTTTTGGTATTCATCATGTGAACCAATAAATGATCAAGGTATTACTGTACTGTTAAGTAGCCTATCTGGGAAAAGAATAATCAATCCGATTTGCCATGAAAACAATATTAACATGATAAACAATATGAGATTCTTCTTCCACATCATTGTTAATGCACATTTTTAGACCAGTGTTTCTCCACCTCAACAACTTTAAGATGTATAGGCACGCTGGCTGGCTAATTGTGGGAACTGAAGTTCACCCATCTTAAAATTACAGAGGTTGAGAAACAGTTTTAGAAATTGTGCTGATCATTAACCTCTGCTGTGAATCCCCCATGCCTTCTTGCTCCAACTCCTTTTTAAAAAGTTCCTTGATATATGGAATGTTCTGAGAAATTAACTGGTTTCCAATAAACGTTTTGCAGGCAGTTGGAAGTGGGCCCAGTAAGCCTCAGCCACAAGCTTGGTCTTCATTAAATTAAAGGAAGGCATTCCAGTCCTATTTGTAATTTGGCAGGAATCAAAGCAATCAGGTTTTTGAGAGGGCCATCTTGTGATTTTGTGTTACAATCATTTCTTTTATTTCTGCTAACTACATAGGAGGAGGCATTAGCAAACTTGGGGGTTATGCTGGTTGGAGTGGAAGGGTATGAATGGAAATGCTTGGGTGGGGTGGAGTGGGGGAATACAATGAAGTGGATAAAATCTCTTACTGTTGCTATCAGTTCTGTAGCTTAGACAATATAAAATGTATTGACTTTCTATGTAATTTATTTGAATACAGACACACACACACACATCTGTATCTTGTGTTTGTCATCTCCCGGGAGTTTTAATTCTGTGGGCCAATAGTATCTTCTCTGTTTTTTAAAGATCAGTGCCCTACAATCATTGATGGACATTCATATTTGTTTTATTATATGCAAAAAACCCAACAGCCATCAATAAATTTGAAAAATGTTCTGTACAGTACATGGTACATGGCAAAATTGTGCATGATCTTCACATGTGTCTATGAATTTTTGTTTTTATCCACACAGAAAAAACAATACTTGATGTCCATGTATAAATGAGCCATCTCATATGCTGCAAATGCTACATACGAATTTTTCATTTGTTTTAAAATTATTTGCCAAGAGCTGGCTTACATAATTAAGTGCAGTATCATATGGTTCATATTATGCAAATCGCTTTTGATTGCAACTTATTTGCTGCATTTTGGACTGCTGACTGCAAATCCCTGCACCTGCAGAAAAGTATAGTGGTGGCATAAGCCAGTGTTTACAGGCTACCATAGCAGCCTATCTATAGTGTCTCATTGACACAGCAGGTATTAACATCAAGTGGCAACACATGCACGTGTGAATCACTGGTGAATAGAACCAAATACAAAGAAATACTGGTAGTCCTCGAGTTATGACCACAATTGAGGCCAAAATTTATGTTGCTAAGTGAAACATTTAAGTGAGTTTGCCCCATTTTACGACTTTTCTTGCACCAAAGCCGTTAAGTGAATCACTGCAGTTGTTAAGTTAGTAACACTTATTAAGTGAATCTGGATTCCCCGCTGACTTCGCTTGTCAGAAGGTCGGGAAAGATGACCACATTCAGGACACTGCAACCATAAATATGAACCAGTTGCCAAGCACCTGACTTTTGATCATGTGACCGTAGGGATGCTGCAACGGTGGTAAGTGGGGGAAAAACGGCCCTAAGTCGCATTTTCAGAGCCGTTGTAACTTTCAAGGGTCACTAAACGAACTTGTGGTAAGTTTGAGGACCGCTTGCAAAATACAATTGAAAAACCTGCCCGTTCGTGTGTTAAGCGGGCACAACTACAGCGGCCAAAAAGGCACGGTGCATATTAGCGTGTGCATTACACGATGCAATCCTACCACGGAATCTCTCCCAGGGCTTTTTCAGGCTATTGGAATTTTTCCTGGGCGCCCGAAGGCTCGGCAAGACCACCGAAGCTTCCAACGGACTGCGAGGAACAAAAAGAGAGCCCGCGCTTCACCTGCTCTTGTTCCACGTGGGCCTCGGCCTCCCGCCCCCCCCCCCCCCCCCCCCCCCCCCCCCGGCCCGCCTTCTTCTGAAGTCTACTTCCTCGGGGTGTGATTGGCTGTGAGGCTGGCAAGCGCTCGCCCGCCCGGCCCGGCCCGCGTCTAAGAGCGCCTCTCTGTGTATATGTTTGCGTGCGCGGGGAGAGCCGCCCCCTCTCGCCCCAACACCTCAGCACCGCGCCACTTCTCTTCTCTTCTCCTCTCTTTCTCTTTCTCTTCTCAGGCGAATCCCCCGTTAAGGCTCCGGTTCTTCCCTCAAAGAAAAGCTAGAAGGTGAGTGTGTTGTTCGGAAGAGGACGGCGCGAGGGGAGAGGCGCGCGCTTGCCTCCTCCTTGCAACCCGCTCGAGCTGTTGCATCAGACGCCCGTCGGAGCGGCCGCGCCGTCTTGAAAAACGGGGGGAGTGGGTGGATGGGTGGAGGAGGTCGTGGGGCTCAAGGTTGGGCGGTGGGGAGAAGCAAGAAAGAAACGAAGGTCCCTTTGCTTGCCCTCGACAACTCTTCCCACTCCCCCCGCACCTCCGCGGAGGGGCCCCTTCGCCGGCCGCAGAGACTTCAAAGGGACCTCAAGGAAACGTGGGCCAAAAGCTCGGGGGTCACCAAGGGGCGAGCGGTTGTGGGTGGGTGGGGGACGGGACTGGGGTGGTGGTGGTGAAAGGGTGCTTCTGGGCGGCTCTGGGTCCCGCGGTCGCTCGTTGGTGGGCTTGGCCGGGGAAGCCAATAACGTACAAGCGAGACCCTTTGAGGGGGCCTCTGCGGGGAAGAGAGGGCGCGGAGGGGAGGCTTTATGCTAGAGCTCAGGACGGCGGAGGGAGGAACCGGGGTTTTCGCCCAAGAAAGCAGGGTTGTCGTCGCTCAGCCGCTCGGCAAGCCGTTGGCTGGAAAGGCTGGGTGTTTTATTTTGGGTGATTCGTTGTTGCCACGTGGGCTCCCTCGAAATATATAGACGTATACTGTATGCAAGCACGCGCGCACTCACACACAGACAGACAGACAGACAGACAGACGTTCCAAGCAACACAGGCCAAATCAATCCTGAAGCCGAGAACAACCTGTCTACAACCCGGTCTTTGAAATGAAAGGTGGGTTAAATAAAGTGCAAATATTTATTGGATTTTAGAGTAGACAAATATACTAGGCAGGAGTTTTAGCAAAAATTGAATTTTGGACACCTGCTTAGACTCGTGTGGTGTGTTTTTGGGGTGGCGGGTTCTGCTTAAAATGGTACCAAGTTCAAAGAGAATCGAGTCTGTCAAACTTGAACATGGGTTATAAATTGGAGGGCGTCTCTCTGGGGATCAGAGAGGTCTTGTTGGAGAAGTAAAATAGCATGGCAGGGATTGGGAATACAGTAAGCGAATATCTAGTACATAAGATGACCTAAATTCAATTTATTAATATTTAGCCTTTTAAATCATCAAGGTGGTCCATACAATTAGAAATTAGTGTTAACTCTAAACAGTGTATTTGAATCCCTTTAGTGCTGCCATACAGGTAGCCATTGACTTACGACCATAATTGGGACCCAAATTTTGGTTGCTAAGCAAATTGATTGTTAAATGAATCACGCCTGATTTTTTTTATTACCTTTTTTGCCACGATTGCTAAGGGAATCGCTGCAGTTTTAAGCAAATATAGCTTCCCTCATTGATTTTGCTTGTTGGAAGCTAGCTGGGAAGATCACAAATGGTGATCACATGACCCCAGTACAGTGCAACCATGGCAAATACATCTCAGTTGCCAAGTGTCTGAATTTTAGTTAAATGATGGGAGGGGGCTGGGATGCTGCTACAGTCATAAGCACCAGGACTGATCAGAATTCCCTTTTTTCAGTGCTGTTGTAACATGGTTGTAAGTCGAGGACTACCTATAATTTTAACATTATTGTGTAAAATTGTCTGCATATCACAGATAATGGGAGGATAATAGAAAAAATAAAATAAAATTTCCCTCTAGACAAACTTGGCTCCTTTAAAAGGAAAAAAAAAAAAAGTAATTTCAACTGACTACTTTTACTGTCTGCTAGAGGCACCAAATATCTCAGGCTACCTTAAAGGGTGGATTTTAAATTCTGGATTTTGATTTGAGAATTGATCTAGGGAAGGAGTATTATTCTGGACAGTTTAGGGCAGCTTCCTCCACCAGGTGCCCTTCTGCACTTTTTGGACTTTTGCTCCAATTCTCAGCCAATGAAGCCAAAGGAATTTTGGAAATTTCAATGCCCACGTAGATGAAAGATGGGTTAGCAGAGAGTACAGTGCCTTTGTGCATGGAATATTAGGGAATATGTGCAAGATTGCAACATATATTTCCTAATAACATTCCATGTGAATTATGTAATTTGCATCAGTTGTGTCATTTGCACAGTGAAATCATGGTATATGTGATGTCAGTCCCCCATCCCCTAATGGACAGCTGTGATTCCACTGAAGTAATTCAATGCCTCTTTCTACATTCTTTTTCATTCTATACATTTAGCATGGTTCAGAGTGGTTACTCTGTTTCCTGCATTGTGGGCATTTTAGGCTGGTTTAAAATGTATTAATGGATCATAATTAATCTATATTTAGTGAGGCTTTGTAGATAGATTTTCTTTGTTGCAGGATCCAAAAAGATCTTCTCTGTGTTTGATTGCACCATGTGCAGTTTAATTACTATTTAAACACTTAAAATTGATGTATTGGTTACCAAAATAGGAAAGAGATTGAAAATGGGGAGTGTGTGTATGTATGTTTCTCTTTCCCTTCACTAATTTGTGTCCAAGGGACAGTTTTGATACTTTCCAAATCCAGCAATAGATCTGAATTTAATCATGGATAATAAGATCAGCATATCTGTTCCTTGTCTTTTGATTGCCTTCTTTAGGTATTCATCAAATAATGGCAGATTTATTTGACATCCTCCCATCATCACAATTAATAGGGCAAACGTAAAGAGTCTTTTCAGTATTCTTTGCAAATAGACTACCCTGTCATTTAGATGTATTTCCCACGTTTATATGTGGCACTTCTTTTACACCTTTGCCTACTTTATTAGGCAACAGTGATCGTGTTTGGAACTCCTGCAAAGTGCAATACTTTTCTGCTCTTCATTAAAGTGGTTTCATTAAAGTAAGATTTTAAGTGAGCCTAAAATAAAAAGAAATTGCTGCTTCTTGCTGCTGTAAGAAATCCACATACTCTTTTTCCAAGTCTTTCCCCCAGTCTTATGATAGGATGGTTTAGACATGTACTAAATAAATAAGCAACACTTATTTAGAAGTCTGAAAAATGTCCAGACCTCTAAATACATAACTGAGTTGGGCAAAGGCTGGATCACTTTTTTAAAAAAAATAAACTTTTAAAGCTTGCACAAACTTAGGAATCTGTTGTTTTCACACACACACACACACACACACACTATGCTGTTAAAAAGTCTTAACATGTAACGAGGCATGTTTTTGAAAAGATAAAAATTCACCATTCCACCTCTACTACATGTTGATATCTGCCACTTAAGTCCTACTACAGGTAGTCCTTGACTTACGACCGGTTGATTAGCAACTGTTGGAAGTTATAGCAGACCTACCTGGGGGCTACTTATGACCTAGATCTAAGTTCTAGTGGTTGCCCCGCTGGTCACATAAGTGGACTTCAGGCACTCAGTAACCCGGTTGCAGTTGGTCTATCTATACATTCATTTTAATATAAACTCAACCTATAAACAAAGGATTACAAATACAATGTATTTACACATTGTACTAATTCAAAGCCAAGTTAACCACCATATGATTTAGTGCAACAATGTATGAATGCAGCTAGGACTCTTTCCAATCTGCAGCATCCTGCAGTCACGTGATCGCATTTTAATGACAGTTTTGCTGAAAATTAGCATTTCCAGGTCTCTGCAAAACCATACCCATAGTGAATAATTATTTTGCTTAAAAACTGCAGTGCTCACTTAATGGTTGCCACAAAAAAAGGTAATGGACAGGCTCCATAACAGTCATAAGTCAAAGACTGTACCTGTATAGAAGACTGTAGTGAGCCTGTTCTTTCTCTCCTCTTCCTGTTTGGGTCTCTGTTCAAAGAATACATTTATTTTTAAATGTGAACGAGCTTTAGCTCCTTTGCTGGATCCAAACGGAGTACTGCCAAGGTTCAAATTTTCCTTGGAATCAATACGGATTCCAGTGGTGGGCTTCTACCAGTTTCACAATGGGTTTGGTGAGTGTGTGCTTCGCACTTGCGCTTGGTGCATGCGCAGCACATTACAAAAACACAGCTATAAAACTGACTTCCCATGGCAATGCCGGTGAGTAAAACAGCTGAGGGCGCCTCAGCTGAGTTTAAAAACTGCAGAAATAAAGGACGGACTAAAGCGGGGGCAGGTGGGTGGGCCTAACCAATCGCCAGAGCATAGGGTTCGCCCAAACCCGTAGTCAGCAGATTATACTGGAAACAGTCCTAGCTGCATTCGTACATTGTTGAGTTAAATCAGGGGTCTTCAAACTTGACAGCTTTAAGACTTGTGGACTCCCAGAATTCCTCCTCCTGTCATGTTAGCTCAGGAATTCTGGGAGTTGAAGTCCACAAGTCTTAAAGCTGTCAAGTTTGAAGACCCTTGCGCTAAATCATACGTTGGTGAACTTGGCTTTGATTTAGTGCAATGTGTGAACCTTTGCATTTGTAAACCTTTTGTTCATAGCTTTGAATTTATATTAAAAGGAATGTATAGACCAAACTACTTCTCAAAATGTGTGAACTCATCTTGGTTGTAGCTTTTTGCCTGTGATGATACATTTGGACATGTAAAATAATCACTGGAAGTTCTGTTTGTCTGAACCAGTTTTGGAGGACCAATGCTAACGTTGTAGCTGAGGGGGTTAGGTCTTTGAAACCCATATGCTTAAAATAATGGAAAATTTGAATCATCCAATGATGTGTAAACAGCCCTGTTATATAGACTTGGAAGCATTTTTCCTAGTTTTATTTTGGGCTTGGTTTCAGTGCTGAAGATATCCTGGGAGGGCTAAGCAGCTGAGCCTCATCAGGATTGTTGCCAGGGTCTTTCAGGGTCAAGCTGCATTCCTGCTCCTTTCAACAAACTGAGATCAACCTGGGACCAAACAGAAATTGCGTAGGGCTCAGTTACTCTCCCAAGCCCTGGCCAGTAGGTTGATTTCATTCATATATCAAGCCCTGTCATGTTCTGGCCTTTGCAGTTTTTTTTCCCCATTGGCCTGGAGTACACAGCAACCATTCCATTTTGTGTCTAGACAATAATGCTCCGTTCTTCTCTTGCAAATGGAGAGAGGTAGGCCTTCCAGCTAATCCAGGAAGCGAAACACAGGTCACAAGAAAATTTTTATCCTGTAACCTCAGAAAGGGAGTTTCCACGCTCTCGGAATTTGCAGTTTTAAGTTAGAAAAAGGCGCATATTTGTCTGGTTGTCCTCATGCGCCTACAGTTGCGTGGGGGAAAAATGGAAGAATGAAGCAGGCTGCATATGGATACAGCTGGAAGCAATTTCAGCACTTTTTCCACCCCGAAGCAAGATCGACAAGAATAGTTGCAGTTGTCTTTGGGCATGGCCTGGCTGATGCTAATGTTTGTCAGCATCTGGATTCTGGAGGAAAGAATGGGGGTGGGGTGGATGGGTCAAGAAATAAGACTCTGCCTTGGGCAGATCCTTTAAACAGCAAATCTGGGGCAAAATGCTGGTTTTCAATCTTTGTTTTTTTTCCTGCCAATCGATGGCTGTCTTCAGGATGGCATGTGCTTTTTGTTTGGAGTGGATGTGCGCTGAACATGTCCGTGCTGCTGCCTATTGCTCCTCCCACTGTTGTCACCTGATATGAAGGTAGCACGTGCAGCTTATTTCAAAGTATCCATGCATTGGAGTGGGGAAATCTTTTCAGAGGAGAAACTTGCTTTGGGGATGATGGCTGTGGATCTTTTAAATCGTTTTCTGGCTGCCAGTTTAATTTGGCCTTTAGTGCTCGTCACACTAGGGAAAGGCCACTCGCAACTATAGATACCAAGTGGGTCTTCCACCGAAGTCTTTCCGATCTAGGAGGATGGATTTCAAGGTTGTACAGGTAGTCCTCGACTTACGACCACAATTGAGCCCAAAATTTCTGTTGCTAAAGTAAAACGTTTGTTAAGTGATTTTTGCCCCCTAACCCTAACCCTTTCTTGCCACAGTTGTTAAGTGAATCACTATTACCGGTTAAGTTAGCAACACGGTTGTTAAGTGAACCTGTCTTCCCCATTGACTCTGCTTATCAGAAGCCACAAGAAAAAAAAATTTTTTTTTGAAAACATGAAGGAAAGAATGGAAAAGATGGACAATAAAATGGAGAATATCCAACAAATAATAACCAAAAATGAACGACAGATGCAGAAAATAGAAGAGAAATCAGAACAAATGGAGAAGAAGGTGGAAGAGATGGATAAACACTTTGATTATTATTTCCTAAAATGATCTGTACCCAGACAACACACTGTTCAATTGAAACTGGAATTTTTGGATGTTATAAAATAATTAAAAAAAGAAGAAGTTGCAAAAGGTGACTTACATGAACCTGTGACATTACAACCGTGATAAATATGAGTCAGTTGCCAATTGTCTGAATTTGGATCAGGTGACCATTGGGATGCTGCAAAGGCCGTAAGTATGAAAAATTATACAGTAATAAGTCACTTTTTTCAGTGACGTAACTTTGAATGGTCACTAAACGAACCGCTGCATGTCGAGGACTACCTGCATACTGTTTGCTAGTTGGTGAAAGCCACCAGATAACGGGTTCTAATCCTACCTAGGGGATAGCTTATCTAGCTTCTTTGGTCACCCTTTTCTTCACACTGACAGGCAGCACCCCTACAGAGAAGCTGTTGGACTTCTTGGAAACCTCTGTTGGAAACAGGCAATCTGATAAGAATTTCCTGATCCTTGTTACCCAGAGTACATTGATTTGGAAAGAGGGAGGGACAAAAGGAGTTTTGAGAAGTGACCGAAAAAAGAGACATACCTTAATTCTGGATACATAAAAGAGATATTTTAAAGTTCTGAAAGTTTCTTAGGACAATGAAAAGATGAACAGAAATCAAGTTCTGGGACTTTATTTGAAGGGTTAAAAATCAAAATTGTTCAAAAGCACAGGGAAGGAATATATGGTTGGCCTATTAATTCAAGGTTAACATTGATGATTATATCTGATATCCCTTATTTAACATTTTTGATAAGGAACAATAACAAAGTTTTTGGATTTTGTTTTTAGTTTAGAGATGAGTTATGGGGAAAAGAGAGTATATGTTGTATTAAGAAATGGTGATAAGCTAGTAAAATTGTTTATGTTTGCTGGGATGAAGGGGGAAGCTACTTCTTTCCTTCCTTTTTTCTTTTCTTTTTTCATCCTGTTTTTCTTTTTTATATTGTTTGTAGTCTCTATTAGTTTTTACTCTATTTGTAATCCGTAATAAAATTATTTGGAAGAAAAATTTGGAAAGAGGGAGGCGTGGCAGGCCTCAATTGCATCACTAATATTTGTAATAGGAGGGTCAGAAAGACCTTAGTATCCCTCCGCGGAGATCCTAAATGCATGAGATACCAGAAGCCAGTGGCAATCAGCTCTTGTTGGTTTAAAGTTCATAGTCCCCTGACTTTGGCATTTCATTATCAATTTCAATATTTAGGTTAGATGTTTTCTTTGGTAGATTAATCAAACTCAAATTTGGAGGGGCATATTTTCCTGGGAGTAAGCCTTGTTGAAACTCTGTGAGATTTAGTTCCAAGTAAATATTGGTAAGGTTCATTTTTAAATTATTAACATATTTTGGGTAATGTAGCTGAATAGGATGACTGTATCTTCCCTGGGTAAATTAAGACTTCACTTGTTGACAGGCTTATACTACTTTAGCATCTACAGAAATACACCCATATTTCTATGAAGTTTTTCATTAAGCAAACATTCATGAAGTTGGTTAGTAAATGCAGCAATTATTTAAGCAGCTGGTTTGGAAGTAGACCATTTTATGCCCTGGAAAGGAAAGTAGAGCTGAGAAAACTAATCAGAGGGCTTCTCTTATTTGTTTGTATCGCTTAGCTTAAGAGGTTTTTGTGGAACTGGTTGAGACAAAATGCAAACATACCCTTTGATTTATTTTTGACAATGAAAGAGTGTATTTTTGTTTTGTTTTGTTTTGTTTTAGTAAGCATTTGCAAGACAATCATTTCCTGGCTTCCTTTGAAGTTAGCACTGGGCTTACACAATGCAATTTTAGTGATGTGTATAATTTTCTAGAACCAATGGATGCAAAGGGATTTACTTCAGAATAAGAATGCAACTGTTGTATTGTTAATCAGTCCACATATCGGTAGCTTGAACTACCGTTTGCATCCATGCAGACAATTCTTTATATTTTAGCATTTGTTATTGGAAAGTGTCCGATTCCTTTCCAGATTTCAGGGATTTTTTTTTTTAATCACTTGACTTAACAGCTAGATTTGATGTACTCTTGTGCAATCCCCAGACATATAGAAAGTCATATAAGATCTGATATTTGGAGGAGGTAATAGAAATTGGAATCTACATTTGGAAACTACCATGATTTTCTACAATATTGGATTTTATCTTGCTCAGGACTCAAATGTCTTATTACCCTAAAGTACGTAGATTAAAAATTCTCACACTTTCCTGGTCCTGTTTAGCTTGGGTCCATATACAGAGCAAAATAATTATTGTGAAATAAACAGATTTTTATAATAATAGGGTGTGAATGTATAGAAAGAAGTATGATGATGCCATTGCTAATATTGTATGGTAATTAGTGTTTGGATTTGAATGGTGAGGGGGATGCCTGCATGACCTTGAAATCCACCAGGTGAATTAGTCTCAATCATTTTTCTCAGCACAGTCTATTTCATAGTTTTGGTATAAATAAAAGAAAGATGATATGAAAAGATGAACTCACCCCACAAACACACCTGGAGCTCCTTAGAGGAATGATGGAACACAAACTAAATCTCTTATACTTTATGGCTTTACATGGCAATACCACCTCACCATTTTAAGACATAAAACCTGGAGAACCTATGGCTTTCAAATTTTGATGCGCTCACAGCAACTCGTAGCAACCTATGTGTAAACCCATGTCAGCTGTACAAGCTAGAAACTGTAATTCAATAATATTTGAAGTCTTCTGTTTCCTGCCCCTGACTCCCCTTTTACACATGTTTACTGCTAACTACAGTTATAAAATAGAAAGGTGGAATAATTCAGAAAAACAGTTTCTTTTTAATAAGAGATACACACTTCAGTTGATTTCATAAAATTGGCTCTTGGGCAAAAGAGAAAAGACTGAACTGCAATGACAATCCACTTTCTGTAAAACAAAGTCCAGGAGTGAACATGGGATATTTCCTTAGTTGTAATTAACACAAATCTCATGCCCTTCAGGTGTGTTTAAGATATAACTCTTATCAAGGCAGATAAGACAGTAGACTAAATGTAGGAAAATAGCCTGTAACCAGATGTGATTCTTCTTCTGTATTACTTTGCTGCATTTCTTGAAACATTCACCTAATGTTCACATATTTAACTTATTTGGGTTTATTCTAAAACAATTTGCTGGGTCTCACTCAAATTGTTGAGCAAAGAATGTACTGCTATGTACATTCTTCCTGCCTCCTTCAGCTTCCCACCTCTTCCATAGTGTTTCTCTGGTTGCATTAGTTATTGTGAGCATATTTTCAAGTATTTCCTCTGTCTTTGTGTATATAGGGTCCAATTCAAGGTGCTGGTTGTCACCTTCGATGCCTTACATGGCTTGGGGCAGGTAATTTGACCGACTGACTTTTTCTGGTCACATCTACATGACCCACCAGAGCAGGGAGGCAGGGAATGCTATGAGTCTCCTCTAGAGATCTAGAGGGGCCTTCTCTGTGGTAACTCCCTCCCTGTGTAACATCATCTCCACAAAGATTGGCCCCCACTCTGACTCTTTCACAAGATCCTGAAAGACCTGGTTTTGACAACAGGTCTGGGGACCTCAGAATAGAATGGAGCCCATCAAATGACTTATTTGATTGATTGTTGTTGCCAGGGGAGTGGGAGGTTACATAATACACAAATAAATCAATCTCCTTTTGTCAGTAGAACTTCAGAACCAGAAATGCTTTTCACTTGCTCAAATCTCTGCTGAATCCTCCTGTGGTGATTGTTTTGTATTTTGTATTATAGGAAGAAGCCGGCTTACGATAGTACAAACTTGGTGATCCAATCTGCTGCAACAGTGAAAGAAACAACATACTTGTTGTAACAGGATCCTTGGAGTAGCAAAGTCAGATTGTTGTGAGAAAAAACTCATTCTAAAGATTAGTGGTCTGGACATTAATCTGCTAAAAAGGTTTGTGGTTACTTTGCACATCCATCTCCCTTCTGCAGACTTAGTGTCATCATACTGACATTGAGCAATAGTTGTTTCTTAATCTTCTTTTTTAATTCTGAACATATGCAGAAATATTTGACTGAAAAACTGAGAAGTAGCACTTGCTGCAAAATGTACATTGATAGTTTGAATTGTAGAATCTGAAGAAACTAAGTGATGATTAAAATGCTGGACGTGGACAAGAAGTCTCTGGGTCATATTCCCAGCTGACTCTGAAAGAATATAACTGTTGTAGCCATTAACAGCCTGATAGAAACTCTCCTTCATTTTACTTGTCTGGATAGGCCAGTCTGTCTTCAGATAACCTAGTTGCAAGATCTTAAAAAATTGTTAGTTGTTTTACTTCTGTATTGTACTATTCAGAGATAACATAATTATCTTTTCCATGTATCTCATTCCAGTTTTGCTGTATTTATGTATAATGTGCAACACATAAATAAATGTGATTTTGAGGTAAATTACCTGAAATGCACTCAGTGGTTAGAAATGTCGTCTTTGAGAGGACATTTCAGAAATTTGATACCAGTTGTTTAATTTTTCAAAAGTCATGATTGTACCCAAGGCTGCTTTGAGGGAGGTGGTTCCTATCTATGCCCAATCGTTGCTCTCCTATTATTAGTTAAAAGTAGAATTGTAACTAAATTTCCACACTGGCAGGAATCTTGTTTGTTCGGGACATTGTTCAGAACATTTCTAACTTGTTTTTTTTTTTTTTTCCATTATTAAAAACTATTTCAGTTTGGTGTGGACAGATCATTTGAAACATGCCATACATTTATTTTACCTGTTCTGTTGGATAATTTTGTATGTATGCCTACATATGTCTTCTTAAGGATTTCGGCTGAGATCAGTGAGAAAGACCCATGATTTTCTTGAACTTTTCATTTTTGCCTGTTAACTCTTCCTATATATGTTTTGCAATTTGTTCCTCATTTACTTTCTCTACTGCATATGACATATTTTGGTTACTCTTCAGATGATATAAATCATTCAGCTATATGATTATGCTACTGCACCTTATTATTGCTCATGTTGGGTACTTTTGTACTCAATTTAAGTATTTCATAATCCAATTATTTTTCATTTTGCCTTGTTATCACACAAATTCCCCATTGCCATTGCATTCAATTAACTTCTGTATTTCTCCTGAAACACCCAACTCTCACTTTCATATGGCAAAATAGCAGGAGCATGGTTCTTTATACAGAAAATAAAGCAAATTTTGCCTCTTAAACATTAATTTCTCATATAGATCAGGCTGCCTTTCTACTGATACTGTACATCTTAACATTTCTCTATCCATTTCCCATGTTTTGTGAACATTCTATCAGTATACATCTATTTATTCTAATTTATCAGTGCAATTATTCAGTTCTGTCACCTCTCTCAAACATAGCTACTACGTTTTTTTATAATACATTTTTTAGATCCATGCTCTGTACTGCATCATACAATCTGTTGGACACTCGTAAATAATTTAGGTTCTGAACCAAACACAGGGCAAAAAATTGGGAAGATAAGAAAATGGAAATGTTCCGTGTGTTTCTGTTTGTCTGTATGCATGTGTGTGCCAATGAAACAAAAGGAAATAATATTTCTGGCCCTTCGGTTAGAAGTTATTGGATACTGCTATTTTTGGTTGATTTCCGATCATAGCTGACAGTCATCTTTTGCATGGGTTTCCTTGAGGGATTGCAATCAGAGGCTAAAAGATTTTTCCGTGGCCTAAAGATAAGTCTTTATCGCTTTATAATGTTTGCAAATCAGGATGATATTTCAGACCTCGAAATGGGATGAAGATTGTAGGGATGGCAGTGTTGTGCTGTGGTGAAATGACATTCTAGTCATGTTTGGCTGTTGATCAAGAGTCCCCAGTTGTGTGCACAACGAGTCTATCCTTTGTGGATGGGCTAGATGTACTTAATTTCAATCCAATTCATTAGTAGTTAGAAAAGGACTGACATATTTCCTTTGCGGTAAGATCTGAACTCACAGTTTGCTTAATTGTGAGTTATTAAAGAAGACATGGTTGGCTGCATTCACTCATACTAAGCCACAGGTTTGCAAACCATACTGGTGTTGCAAGCAGGGTTTAGACAACTCTTGATCAAGAACAAAACCACATTAAGGCTTTGTGCATTATGTAAATCTGCTATTATCATTACTAACTACAATTAATATCAATCATAGTGTTTAAAAACTCTGGGTAAAATGCTTAAAAACTTGAAGTCAAGGCAAGCCTCATACAAAATACCATTAAACTTAATGACATAATTTTTAATCTTACACATAATTCTCTTAAGAAGAAGCCACTCCGAACACAATTGAACTTAAGTAAACATATTCAAGTAGCACTATAAGTCACGGTTATGCTCGTGGTTTGTTCACCAATAGGAAGGATGAAAGAAGTTCACAAACCAGTAGCCCACTGGTGTCCCATTTCTGTGGCTGAAAGATGGACGATTAGTTTTATTTCATATTTCAGAAAGGAAACAGCATAAAGCCCAGCTATAGCTAATATTAAATTCTTAATTTTTCTTTCCAGGCATCTTATTATTATTATTTCCTTCCCACCCCTTTTACTTTAGGAGTGTCCTGGGAACAGGTTTTTGTGGGTTGCATGCATTTTTGTAGTCAACCACATCAGGCCAATTTTTCCTTTTGCCCAGGCTCCAACTCCTGTGTTCCATCTTAGGTGTGTTTCTGGCATAGGATTTCCCAAACCGTGAGGTATACCTCCCTTGGGAGGTGCAGGCAGAATCTAGGGGAGAGGTAAAGAACCTTTCATCTACATTGTTACAATAAATCCAACATTCCTATAGTTTCTTTGTATTGTTTTCATTGTTCCTTTGTGTTCTGTTTTTTTTTTGTGTTCGGATGGTTAGGTGTGTACTTTAAGATTACACTAAAAGGAGGGGTGATGGCAAAAAGTTTAGGAACCCCTGACCTGAAATCACAAGTGACACGACCAAATGGAAACACCAGGCGAAAGCTGGGACACCAAGTCAGCTGTGTATGCAGGACAATTACCCTTGGTTACTTAACCATGGTTAACCCATCGCCTGGGTTAATAAATGATTAACCCAACATACTGAACAACAAACTAATCAAGGGGGCTAATTTCACATAGTTCATTGAGCCTCAAATCAGCCACCCTTTGTTATGGAAAGAACATACCACTGGACCGTAAACTGTATGCAGCTTTTGCATTCGCCCCCTTTCATGCCATAGTAAGGACAGCAACCTTCCCAGTTTTGCAGCATTGGATAAGTTGGCTGGAATGGCAGTAAGTTTCACAATATTTAGAGGTCACGGGTTCTCAACAGTTGCTGTTTTTTTTGTACCTCCCACAGCTTGAAAGAAGAACTGAGAAATACAGTCACGGTTATTACTCCCAGCGGTGGTGAGGCCCATCGGCTCATCCCACCAGGATAGAAAGCTCTTGTTCTATGTTTTCTGTGGGAATATATCTCCAAGGGAAGGATGCAGTTAATGATCAAGGCACCAGTCAGGCATCTCCATTTGCATTTTTGCCCCACCCAGCCTTCTCTCAGCTTTTCCCAGGTGGCACATTTAACCCTTGGGCTCCTGGGTCCCAGAGACAGGTGTGTCTCTGTATTTTCTTTTTTGAACCTTTCCTTCTTTCTTTATTTCCATTAGCATTGGTGGGAGCTCTCTTCCAGACAGCTAGAAGTTGGGAGGGATTCATTAGGTTACTGTGGAGTGGGATGAAAGTTAAAGTTCTCATTTACCTGACACCTCTGGTTTGGGTAGCAATACGAAAATGTAAGCGTGCATTTAACATTACATGCTTGATCAAGGATTGAGTAATTTCACCTTCCCCATTCCCATTCCCTCAGGAAACCTAACCAAAAATATTTCGCTGCAGAGAGGCCTGTTGCTATTCTCAGTTTAAGTGGGTTAGCAATCTGAGGCTTCTGTACAATTTGCCTGGGAGACATACACTACGGGCTGGTTGGTTTTTAAAATTTGCAGAATTGGGTAAAATCTTTGTTGACTTCAGCTTGTAATGTAACTAAGAGACCTAAGAAGTATATTGCTGGATGGGGTGGTGGGAACAAGGCAGCCTTTTATGTTAATTAGGTTTATGGTGGAGAATGTCTTCTTGTATGGTGCCTGCTTATTCAGATCTGCACCAGGTTGAGAAAGGTGGAAGAGTGGATGAAACGCTCTAACGTTTCTGAATAAGAAGGTAGCTCTGCAAATTTGGGGATCATTTTATCTGTGCATCTAGGAGTGAATTTTCTTCCCTGGATAAGGCTGGGTCAACGACACTTCAGTAAATCTGTGGTGTGAATGCAACTGTTGTGTTCATTACACATGTTACTGCGTCTTTTCCCCCCAGTGATTTCCCTTCCTTCCTCCCCCACAGTCCTCAGACAAAACTACAACAAAATACATCTTCTCTCAAGCCAGACTCTTTGAGGAAGAGGAGAAATGGGTTATGTGCTTTCCCCCTGTGGGTTTTAGTGCTTTTTTTTCTCTCTTACCTTAGTGTATAATGGTCATTGTTAGGGGAGGAAGGCTGATAGAGCAGTTGGTACACCACCCAGTACGTGAGGGAGTACGGGAGTACGTGCCATCTTTCTTGGGAGTAGCATGCAGATGTGTGAAAACGCTTAGGGAAGCAGCCTGCCAACTTAATGCTTAAAGGTGTGGGTGGGAGAAGGAACAGGCTAACATCCTTCCTCGCCTACCCTCTGTCAGGACAGACTCCCCCCCAGGCATGGGGTTGGAACCGCTGCATGTTTCTTGGCGTGCCTTTTCATTAGAGTGGCAAAACTATTCTGGCGGTGCCTCCCTTCCCCTCCCCCATCCACACCCTTCCTGTAGCTGGGAGTAGAATATTTGGATTCTCAGGACTACCTAATCCCAGCCCCTTACCCCCTCCCCCCACCCACTCCCAGTATTATTGAGTGCTGCTTGCTGAAGTCTTCTCCGTGTCCTCAGGTATCCTGCTGAACCAAGTGTATTGCTCTTGCTGCTGCTGGCGGTTTACTGAAAGCGTTGCCCACATCCGTGATCAAACACCCCACCGATTGCGAAGATGGAACTGCAAAAAATGGGAAGCGAGGTTGGCACCGAAAGATTCAACGGTACAATACCTGACAGTGACAAAGCAGCTGTCCTGGAGGATGGGTGAGTCTTTGGTAGGAGTGACAGAGAAATCTGTTGGGAATACACCCTCTGTGGCGTAACAGTTTAATATGTTAGGGATTGGGACCAGGAGACCAAGTTCCCACTTGACTGTAAAACTGACCCTCTGACTTCAGACCCATCATATTCTCTCAGCCCTGCCTACCTCATACTCTGGGGGATAAAATAAGGGGGAGACTCTATATATATATACACCGCACTGAGCGCCCAGTGAAAAGGTGAGGTATTAATGCAATAAATATACGTACAGGGAGTCCTCGCTTGCCATGGTGATTGGGCCTGGCAATTCCATTGCTAAGTGATGGGGTCATAAAATACAGCATCTTGTCTCTGTGCCAACTTACAGTGGCAGCTGTGGCAGTCCCAGTTACTGTGAATCCAGCATGGTTGCGGTCTCCCACAGACAGATGATCACCATTTACGACCTCTGGTTGGCTTCCCCTTTGACTTTGCTTTTCAGAAGCCAGCGGTGAAGCTCACAATTAACCATGGGATGCTGTGACATAATTATGAGCTGGCTGCCAAAAGCCCAAACTGCCATCACATGACTGTGGGGACACTGCAACAGCCGCAATAATGAGGACTTCAATCCGTGCCTTCATAACTAGTTGCTGAACGAGTGGTTGTATAGTGAAAATGAACCGAATGTACAACTTTGCAAGTTTTGCGAATCGAGGCATGCATTTATATTCCTGCAGCGTCTGCACATTGCAGAAGAGAGTCGTGGCTTAGAAATACAGCACAAAAGACAAAGATTATTGCAGGGAAAGATGAGCAGTTCACACATGAAAGGGCAACAACAAGAAACAACATAAAATATTAATTATAATTAATAAACCCAATACTTGTGGAATTTATATCTATATATTAGGAAAATTTGTGTAAATTGTGAATTTTAGGAGAAATTTGCATAATAATTGTATATATGCTTTTATGCAGCCTTCAAAACAAATACAAGTACGGTCGATATAGAAATGGAGCAGAAAAAAAAGAGAGAAATATATTCTAATTTTGGAAGTTATAAAGAAGAGAAGGTTGGGCATGCAGAATTGGGCAGCGTATGAGAAAGATGGAAATTAACTGAGCAGGCAGAATCGAAGCCAGAAAAGCAGGAATTCAGGTTAGGCAAAGAGACATCAGAGTAGTTCCCCCACATAGGGAAAAATATTTCTGTAATAAAAAGCCCTGGAGGTAATATAGAAAGATGCAGATTGAGAAGCAACTATTTCTAGTGGCAAAATTAATACACAGATCATCAGTCTCTTCTCCAAAATTTTAGAAACTACTCCGCCAGCAGCAAACAAACACACACATTTCTTAGTTCTATGTTCTGTCAAGCTTCCAATTCAGGACTATTTTTTATTTTCAGTTAAACTACCTAGAACTACCCAGTTCCCACCTAGACGGTAAGATGTACCATAGAGATAATACTATTAGAGGTCGTTAGCTTCATCAGGTGCTCTCCTGTGTTCTTTCTTTGCACTGGCTTCAGGGAGCACCATTTTGCATAATCAACAGGTACCTTCAGTAACAAGGGTACCAAAATTTCAGTTGTTTATTAAGTCCAGAAATTAATGGCAGGTATACATTTGAAAAAATATTTTTCATGCTCTAGATTTGCCACTGGACAACTAAATGGTAAGTGTAAGTAGTCATACAGACCCTGATATCAGGTTTGATATATGGAAATGTCATTAAAAAACAAACCCCAACAAAATCAGAACACAGAACCAGGGGGAAAAAAAGACCAGAACACATCCTCTCCAGCATCCAACACCCAGATATGCAAGTATTAACACCAGATACAATCAAGCAGAAATTGATACCCTAATCAAGGGACTATCAAGAAGACTACACTCCTACCAACGCTGACAGAGCAAGCTATTTTACATCAACTGACTAGCACTGATGATGTTACTTAGTTGGGTAATGAATTATCTGCAAGCAAACGACCAAGCTCAGAGGGATGCCACAGTTCAATCCTGAGCTGCGTACTGTATATTCTCTTATGTTGGAAATGTATGCTGCTGTGAGACTTGGTGATAATCTTTACATCTGTTTAGAGTAGATTCATAAACTAGCTATGATGGCTAAGCAGAGCCTCCGTTTGAGAGGAAGCAAGTCTTATCCTGTGGAAGTTAATTGTAGAATTGCATAGACCTTTTATCTCATCTATTGAGACTTCTTTGAGAGGCAGAGTGAAAGCTCACTGCTGGGATGACACAGTCTTGGTTGATACAGAACATGCTGGAGGCTTCTTTGCATAGCTCATAATCTATATCCCCTCAGTACATGAAACCATTTTGGGAAAAATGGATTTGCTGCAAGTCCATTCCCACAGCAGCCTCTGACCATGCTGGGAGATACCGGAGGCTATAGAGGGCTTGGGTAGACATTTCCTTGTATGAATGGCAGTTCAGTTTAGGCTTCAAACTTTGACTGCCCAGTCTGGCATAATTTAAGTCAATGATTGATAATGTTAGTTTCTTCTCCCTTCACAGTCACACACAGACACACCCGTCTAGCCATTAAGCAATAGTAAGAAAGACTTATCACTAAAAGGTTTGGGATTACTGTGCTTTCTGTCTCATGTCATTGGCTGTTAGGGATTTTGGGAATTAGTCCAACAGATCTGTAGGGCACCAGACTGGGGAAGGCTGGTCTAGCTGTTCCCAATTCAGGATAGTTGTTACAACCCAACATAGTAATTATCTCCAAATATTTGAAGCAAAGGCTTAGTAATAATTTAATTCATTAATATTAACACACTGGCTTCATTGTATAGTTACATCAGAATTTGGCAAGAGAGTCAAGATTGCCAAATATATATATATATAATTTTAAATTAACACATTTATTTATTAGAACAACCAGACAATATGTCAATCACATTAATAGTTCAATACGTATGCTAAGTACAATAACACATGATGGTTTTATCTACTTTGTTTCCTCTCTTTTCATTTCCTTTTTTCTCCATCTTGACTTGACACTTTAATTAGAACACAGCATAACCTGTATAATATTTGGCTTGAGCCATTGATTTGTGATGCTAAACAGATGCAGTTCTGGTATAGGACTCCACTGACCTTTTCTACTTCTTCCATTTCAGGTATGAGGAAGAGGAACGTATTTCAGCAGAACAAGATGGCTTCTTGCCTAATGCTGCCAGCAAGAAATTCAGCCAATTCACTGATGTAGGTGATGATGTCATCAAATATCTCCAACTCAGCTGTGTCCACAGGGAGTGCAGAATTGTGACAGAGGGATTAACTCTTTTATGTGTACTAATAAAGGAGAATAATTGTAATTCAGGGTTGACATGAGCGGTCCTTGGTGCTCTCTGAGCTTGGTTGTTTTCTTGTAGACATTTCATTACCCAAACTAGGTAACATCATCAGTGCTAGTCAAACACTGTGCTAGTGTTAGCACTGATCAGTCCAGCAAGCACCAAGGGCCCATCTCTTATATGTGCAACATGATGTTGCATGCACATTCTGTACAAAAGGGCCGAGCTTGCAGTAGGATGGCATGACAGTACTTTCCTCATGAAAGCAACCAGTTCCTGTTTATTCCCATTCCTCTACTTACCATTGAAAGTAAAATTCAAATGTCTCAGCTATTTCTTAATGCAGTTTGCAAATGTCTACCAATCCAGCATGACCTAATGAAGCAGGATTGAAGAATTTTCCTTGTACAAGTGTCATTTTTTTTTCACGGGTGGTGGTGGTGGAATGTCATTGCACAACTGTTGCATTGAGACATAAGATCTGGCTTCCAGAATATCTCAGGCTTCTGGATGTTGCCCGATGTGTGATGTTTCTTCTTGTTAGCATGCATATTATATTATCATGTAGGTATTTTAGAAGTATTACCTCATTATGTTTTATTATCTATTTATATCATGGCCACCTATATTTATAATTTCCATCAAGGCTTAACCGGCCCCACCTTTATAAACTTCTCTTATCTCCTGGTTCTTTTTCATTTGACTGTCATTGCTTCCTTCTGTTCACACTGAATCATCTCTTCTTTTGAGAACCATCTTTTGTTGTGTCTTCATTCTGGTATGTTCCCACAGACCTGAGTCAAATGCAGACATTCAAAAATATATGGCATAATGTATAAAACTGTAAGAATCAGACTGGTACAGTGCAATATGTTGGTCATTGTATAATAATTGGTAACTTTTTAGGGACACTCATGCAGGCCAGGTGTTCTGCCACTTCAACTTTCTTTTCTGGATTACCCTTGGATATTTAATGATTGGTATCATTTTTCCCCTTCAGCCTCATGTATTATACCGGTATTTCTATTAGGATTAGTGCTTTGTTTTCCCTATGGCCCAAAGGCTATTTTCCACCCAATTTCTGAAATTCGGTTTTTGTTTCTTTTCTTAAATCTTGGTTGCAGTTTGAGGGAAAGACTTCGTTTGGGATGTCAGTCTTTAATCTGAGCAACGCCATCATGGGGAGTGGCATCCTGGGCCTGGCCTATGCCATGAGGAATACGGGAATCACCCTCTTTGTGTGAGTGTAACTCCCACAGCTTGGTACCCAGGGGGAAAAAAATCCACAATCCAAGGGGGAGGAAGCAAGTAGAAATTCAGCCACAGTTTCCACCTGTGGGTCTGCTGCTGGATGGATTGTAAGAACTAATTCCCAAGCAGGGATTGGATAGAATTGGTGAATTCAAGTATGGTTGGGCTAGAATTCAGTCCAGATGAGGATTGGAAAGAGTTCTCTTTGTCTCCATAGAAGAGGCATTCCAGAGTTGGTCCATTTCTGTGAAAGAAGCATTGGGTTGACATTCATTGTTGTCCTTCTTCCAGGATCCTTTTGATCTGCATTGCTTTGCTCTCCTCCTATTCCATTCATCTGCTGCTGAAGTGTGCTGGAGTTGTTGGTGAGTCACAGTTCAGGAGATTCCATAGTGTTTGTTATGCGCCACAGGGTAAGACCCTGGCCATAGCCATACTGCTCATTGGGGGTAGAAACAGAACTAATACAATACAGGGGTGCCTTTTATTAAGGGATTTCAGAGGGGTGTTCAGAAGTTTTTGCTATTCTTAGAATCTATGCCTTCTCTCAGTTTGGATCATTAAAAGTCTTGTCCTCCAAGGACTGTGGCCTAACAAGAATTAGTGCAGGCTGTAGATGCCTTGAAACTTGGTTTTGAAATTGATCAGTGGGCCATGCAGGAAGCTGGACTGGCATTCAAAGATGGCTCTTTTTGTTGCACAGACAGATTGTGGCTGAAGAGCACAACTTGTCCTTAGGTCATCATTATTACCAAGGAGCTGCATGTTTTTTTTAACTCTCAATACATTGAGGAATGTGTCAATTCCTACTGGAACTGGATTGATGAGCGTGTTGACTGCTAGCATGAAAGGAGCATAATTTTGAACAGTGGTTAAGATGAATAGACTGGTAGTGTTATCACCCTAGAATTATAAACCAACCTTATCTGAACCCTTTCTCTCTTTCTCCTATTTAGGAATTAGAGCATATGAACAGCTGGGATTGAAGGCCTTTGGCCATGGGGGCAAAGTGGTGGCTGCTGTCATAATCTCAATACACAACATAGGAGGTAAGGTTTCCCACTTCGCTGTTGTATCAGAAAGGGGAAACAAAGTGGTGTATATTTGCATACATTTGCTTCTGATAGTTGGAGGTGTGTATGAAGTTCAAGGAAGAAGACTGAGCAAAGGACTGGGGCATTGTGATCTTGACTTCTATAAACTGGTGGCGATGATGATTTGTGACCAATATCCAGTGTTCATCCTGAGGATAAGAGTGGGCAATCAAATGCCACCTTACTGTTTTCACTCTTCCCCAAAAAAGAAATTCATGAGATCCTGACAGCTTTCTCTTTTCACAGCTATGTCCAGTTACTTGTTCATTGTTAAATCTGAACTGCCACTTGTGATCCAAACCTTCTTAGGGCTGACAGCAAACAATGGGTAAGCAAAACTCCCTGCTCTTCTTGCTCCTGATTGCATTCTGATTGAAATTACACAGAACAGATGAAAATGCAGCAGTTCCTCAATAAGGGGGGGAGGGGAGAAAGAAAGAAAGAAAGAAAGAAAGAAAGAAAGAAAGAAAGAAAGAAAGAAAGAAAGAAAGAAAGAAAGAAAGCCAGCCAGCTGAATTATACCAATCTCCCCATATTTGACATTCTATTTGTTGGAATATAATTTACATCATCTCAAGTCAACGTAGATAGTGCTAGTGGAAGTTGTAATCTATATTAGAGGAGGTTAAATAAAATGCTTGCCTACAAAAAGAATGACAAAGAAACCTACAGGTAGTTTCTATTGTTTTGGTATTTTTCAGGGTTACGTGGTTAATTAGGCATTGCTGCTATCCTTGGGCATGCTTCATGCTAAGTCTAGGGTGATTTCCAGTTGAAAACTTTCTGGATTTTGACAGTGTCCAGCACAGTTTTAATTATTCACCAAACATGCTTAACCTGTTCACTAAGTTGATCCATTTATTGTGTTTGCAACATGCATTGAACATAAACTCTCTAAATAGGTTGGATTCACATAATATATTAAGGCACCGGAAAACTGAACAAGATTAATTCTAATCAAGCTTAGCATATTGGATGAATGGTTCTACTATCTGAACTAGTTAAGTGAGTTTTGTGACCTCCAGATAAAACCCAACCAGATCCACGATTATTTCAGGACTTGTCTTGAACTCTTAATGATATTTCCTTATGGCCATTGTGACTTAAAATGAAATTAGAGATGGAATATATATGAGGATCACGGCTCTTTCCCTCCTCCTTTTTCACTCTGACACAGCCCTTTTTTTTTCCAGAGCTGTTCTAAGGGGTTTCTGAGTAGTATTATGGAAGGAAGCAGCTGGTCTTTTTGGCTATTTTTTCCTTCTATAAATGGATCTTCTGGGGCTTGGTGCCTTATTCACATTCCTCCCCTGATCAAGAGAATTTGGGACCAAGCCACAATGCTCTGTAGCTTGCAGACTTAAACCCCCACTCGCAGAAATGGGATGGGGAAAGGAGATACAGAGATTATTCCCTTGTGGATCATAAACTGTCCCCTGAGTTTCCATTTAGGGGTGGAAAAGAATTTTACCACAAGTTCTGATGAAATGCTATTGGATGTCATCTTGGGCCATATGTTAGTATTAAAATCCACTAATATTTGTCTTTCTCCCCTACAAGTTGACAACCATGCCTGAAAGAAATATGTTGTTGAAAGTTGGGAAGAAAAAGGGGCAATTGTATTTAAAGTAGATTTACATTGTGGGAATATCCATTTAAAAAGCTTGTATCTAAGGTCATTTATGTGTCAAAGGACCAAAGAAGTGGCATTTTTTTTTTGTTATTTTAAAAAGGTTACTAAACAATATGTGTTCATGTATTGTGTAAAGTTGGGAAGATGTTTAAAAGAATTCCTACGTTACAAGTGATGAGATTTTTGTGTGTACTATTTTAAACTAAAAAAAGTTGTTGAACTGGAATATTGCCATATTACCACAGACAGTAAAGTGGACACGATTTCTAAAGTAGATTTATACTTGTCAAAATACAGCTATGTGTGATGCTACTTCATTTTTTTTTTCAGCTTTAAATCAGATAAATTTGGAAGTGAAGCCGTATTTCAACTTTACCTGTATGTCTTTAAAAAAAAATCCCTGTTTTTCATATGGACTGGGGTAAAGATGGAAGAGAAAAAGATCTGAAGAGTAGCCTTCAAACTTAAATTAGGTTATGTCAATACCGTTGCACTCCAGTTCTTTGCATGTTAATCTACAGTACTTTAACTGATCTCATAAATGTTTGTCATTAAAAGTTTTGTTATAAATAGCAATAGAGTATTTCTTTATTACAAGCCCTGGAGGACCCCTGGAGTAAAGAGAGGGTGGTTAGAATGGAAGAAAGTTTGAGGAAGAAATCTGGAACAGGAACAGAGAAGAGTTTGTTTCCTTGTAATAAAATACTTGGTTGGATGCCGCTGCAACTCTGCAAGTAACAAAACAAGAAGAGAAATGGCGTAGTGCAAGAGAAGTTTCAAGTCACTTTGGTCATTCACTGCTCACTTGTTTACATATTGTCACGCTTCTGAATAGCTCCTGGATTTCTGGTCAATCCCATGAGGACTAATTGTAAACAGATACAAATTGTGGTCATCAGTAAATAAGCGTTACTTCTACCCCAGCAGTTCCTCTCAAGCATTTCCTAACCTTGGTGTCCTGCAAATGCACGGATCTCAGCTGTAAAAATTCTTAGCAACAGCTGCATTGGCTGGAGAATTTTGGGGATTTGAAGTTCATGTACTTGGTGATTATTTAAGCTGGGAAAAATGGCCTTTTGTTGTCTTTTATATACTCTTGTAGAGTCAATTTGGTTAGAGCAACAGGCTAGAAGTCCGGAGACTGAATTCTAGTCCTGCCTTAGGCACAAAACTAGCTGAGTGGCCTTAGACTAGTCACTTTCTCTCAGCCTTAGGAAGGAGACAGTAGCAAACACTTCTGAATAACCTTGCCAAGAAAACTATAGGGACTTGCCCAAGCAGTCTGAGAATTGGACGTAACTGGATGAGAGAAAAGAAAAAATACTCTTTTATCAGTTAATCCTCTATCCTTGATTCTTCTGGATGACAGTCAAATGTCATCATTGGTAATAATGGCCTAGTGGGGCTGATACCTGCGTCTTACCTGTAACAGGCAACATATGTAGAGTTCTTTTTTGAGTTTTTTAAAAATAGGGTAGGTAGCATTTGGCTAGTTATATTTGCTAATTAAAATAAATACAGATTTAAATTTGGGAAGGAAAATGTCAAGTATCCAGATGCAAAACTGTATTCCATGCTTTTCAGTCCATATGAAAAAAGATTTTTTTAAAAGGTAAAAGGATAAAAAAAAAAGGATGGCGCCTGTCAAGAGTCAGTCAGTCAGTCTTTCTGTCTGTCTGTAAACACACAGGAGCTCTTCTTTTATTTTTTTGCTACTGTTCACTCTCTCTGTGTATGAGAGAGAAAAAGAGAGAGTGAGGTAAACTATAATGTTCATGGATTCATCCAACTGTGGTGCTTTATTTTCAGCGAATGGTACATGAATGAGAAAATTTTAATAGTTGTCGTCAGCATTAGTGTCATCCTGCCCTTGGCTCTGATGAAACATTTAGGTAAGTGACAGAAAATGTTTGTCCTGTGTTCTGCTTGTGCGTGCTTGGATAAATATTGTCTGATCATGTGTATGTACTTTTTTGCGTCACTGCTGGTTTTCTACCTTAAGTTCAAGGCAAGATTGTGTCATTTCAGCCTTATAAGTTGAGGCATATACATCAGTGCTACCCCCAACTGTAGGGAATCGGAATTGCTTCCTACGAGGATCTTCTATTGACACAGATCTTGCAACCTATTGTTGAAGAGAATTATTTGGGGCACAGAAGAATATTAGCAGAAAAGCGATATTCCATAGGGTTCCCCCCTCCCCAGTATGTGCATTGCTAAATTCAATTGCATTGAATTTCCAAATTGGATTTTTGATTGAATTTAAACTGTGAGCTCAAATCTGATACATTCATTCAATTCATTCAATTCATCTGGGCTGACAGAAGATTGTCACCTGTGTGTGCTTGCATTTTCATCATTTGATTAAATAAATTAATACAATCATAGAATATAAGGGTTGAAAAAGCTCTGGGAAGAGCCTCTAATCCAATCTCTCACTAAATGTAGTAATCCGATACTATGGCATTGAATCGTTCCAGTTTGAATTTAGTTGATCACCTATTGTCGTAAAAGTAATACTCAAAATCAGATTAACCATTCCACACCCAATCAACAATGATACATTTTATGTCAAAAATAAATGTAAATTGAACGAAGCCCAAGTTGAACACCAATATGTCAAATTGATAAACATATACTAAAAAATATCATTTTTTCTTGTTGCTTTGTTATTTCTGTTTTCTAAATTGGAATTTGTTGCATGTAATTGTTAAACATCCTCCAAGGCTGAACTCTACACGGTTTCTCCCAAATTTTTCACATAGTATAGATGTTGAATTTCAGAAGGCCATTGCATCAGTTTAGAATTAAGGATGCTGTCCAAGTTGTATTATTTTTTAAGAGCAGATATATCTAATTAATGATGGCTTTCTTTTCCATGTTTAGCTTTCTTTGCTGTAAAATCTTTTGAGAGGCTTTTTATCAAAATCCTGTATATAAGATCAATGCAATTCCTTTGTTCCCTTCCTTCTTTTCACAGGTTATCTTGGTTATACCAGTGGACTCTCACTCACCTGCATGTGTTTCTTTCTCACCTCGGTGAGTTACATAACTCCCAGAAACTCTGGCTTCTCCCAGAAAGAAAAAGCGCCAGATTTAAATAGGAAATATTTGTCGCAATCTTTTAAGAGGTTTTCAATCAGAATAGAGCTGGAAAGGACCTTGGAGGTCTTATAGACTAACCCCCTGCTCAAACAGGAGATACTAGTCGATACCATTTCAGACAAATCACAGTCCAGTCTTTTCTTTAAAACCTCCAGTGATGAAGCCCCTACAACTTCTGAAGGCAAGGTGTTCCACTGTTTAATTATCCTCATTGTTGTGAAGTTTCTCCTAAATTCCAGCTTGCTTCTCTCCTTGATTAGTTTCCATCCACTGTTTCTTGCCTTGCCTTCTGGTGCTTTGGAAAAGGCACAGTTTGGAAAAGGTGTCCAATTGCTGCTTTTGTTGCTGCTTTGTCTCATCCACTCCTTCCTGATGCTCGCTCACCATCCATTTTCCATTCCTTCCACAAAGGTAATTTACAAGAAATTCCAGATCCCTTGTCCCTTCAATGATACTGTGGTGGTCAATAGCACCATGGAATCCAGCCATGATACCTGTAGTACTGAAACCTTTCCTCTCAATTCTCAGGTTAGTATGAAAGTATCTGAATCTAGTGAAATCGAACACGTTAAGAGTATTGATAGAGCAGGGAGATACAGTTTTGGCTATATGAGGCCTGCAGAATCTGCTGGTGCAAGTGAATTAATGGACTTTTGTCTGCTACTATGTTCTAATCACATAGTAAGTTTTGTGCCTGAAAGCGTACTTGAAGCTCAATCTTTATGGGCATCTTGATCTTTATAGCACATTGCTTCCCCCCCCTCTTTCTTTTATTGAAGTATAGTACTAAGGTCACTGGGATTTGGAGGGGGGGCAATAGGATCCCCAGATTATTCCTAGTAATTGTACCTAGAATTACAGATTTTCTTTGAGAAGGGGAACAATATTCTACAAGTATAAAATTCTTTGGTAACTTTTGGAGAAGCTCTTTAGGCTATACCCAGATTTTTCAGGAGTACATGTAGCTTTGAGATCTCAGGTTGTGTACCTATATAACAAATCAGGAAGCAACTGTGAAGTTGATAGAGGTAGGAAAAGCAATTGATAAATTGGAATTTTTTTGTTCCCATTTTTCCTGTAAAATATATATACTGTAATGTATTTATAATTCAATGAAAATTACAATATACATCTATACAAAACACCCTGCTTTTTAATTTTACTAATGAGATTTCCAGTAAAATAGTCCTACTGCTGTTCTCTGTATTTACTCACAACAACTGTAATATATGAATGAGGAAGAGCAACCTAAAAATTCTGAGTTTTAGACCTTCTGCTTAGAACAAAAACTGAACTGTTTTTCCTTTTCTTTCTAGACTGCATACGCAATCCCCATCTTGGCATTTGCCTTTGTTTGCCATCCAGAAGTGCTTCCTATTTACACCGAGCTGCGCAGGTGAGAAAAGTTGACAGCATCAATGGAAAGGTTCTGAATTTTCTAAAAGAATATATGGAATAGCAGAAGGACAACATGCAAAATAATTTAACTTTGTGGAGAAAAAAAGTGCTAAAAAATAGATTCACTTAGTCTTGTTCCCAATGAAAACTGGGAAGGGCAGTGCTGAATGCGGAAGAAACAGGCATGGTTAGCAGCACTCTACACTATTCCTAGTTTTCCAGTGTTATACCTTCCAGGTTTGTGATCTACGGTCTGTTATCCCTAATCAGTTCTGTTGGGGATTATGGGAATTATTCGTACAGCAGATGTGGGGATAATACAGATGTGGAAAAAAGCTCAAATGAAATACTTTTCTTTGGGACCCTTTCAATTATGGTGGGAGAACAGGAAGGTAGAATGGAAGAAACATAGGAGAGCAAAATCCATCTTCTTATGCTTGGGAGGTTGTTAAGGGCTAATGCTTTCGCACCCAGAGTTTGACATCATCACAGAAAGCCCCACACCTCTGTTTCAGTCATTTTATGGGTAGTCGTGACTTTGGGAGGAGTGTCATGATTCTCTGAGAAAGATAGCCCTGATCCCTGACTGATTGTGCTCGGACAATTGTGCATTTGACGAAACGAAACAAAACTGTTCAGAATGTGGAGTTTTTGTATAACATTTACCAAAATTAGTCTCTTACACTAAAAAATAAAATTAAAACTACTGTGGTCTTCGTCAGGTAAGCAGCAGCTTCATTCCTCACATGTAGTTTGTTGCTGAGAGATGCAGCAGGACCTGAAAAATGCAGAGTTATGGCCAGATGGACCAAGCTCAAGATTGTGAAATGCAGATCAGAAACAGGCCAGCAAAGTATGCACTGGTAAAAGAAAGGGTAATAAAATGGAGGCCATTCCCCCCTGCTCTTTCAGGGTAAATGTACATAACCTGCAATAACTGTTGGAGGATTTCCAAACAGTGAAGTCTTAAATGCTATCCGAAAAGAAAGCATGGCAAAGTCTAGATGAGATACAGCTATTGAACACTGTCATTTGAACCTTCCTTTCCTCCCTGGCTGAATTCCAAGAACAAGCAGAAGGATTGTTAATTGACTTGTGGATTGTGTGTTGTGTCTTCACTGAAACACTGATGTGGAGGGCAATTCTAGCAGGCAGTTTGGACAGCCAAACATCACAGTGGGGAGAAGATGAAGGACTTGCTTAGAAGAAGCTGAAGATGCATTGTTCCCCGCAGAAAATAAAGCCTATGGTTTGCAGTCTGGTAAACCATCTTTGATTCTGGAACAGTAATCTAGATTTCTGAATTTCAATATAGTACCAGGTGGAATGCAGGTTTTGGGGTTATGGAATGGAGTAGAAACATGTTGCATGGCCTTTTAGGTTCCCTCAAGGCCTCTCTTTGGAAGGAGGCCCTCATGGGAGGACACTTGAGGACTTGGTAGGTTTCAGCAGCAAAGATTAAAAGCCCAAACTTCTGATTTGGTCTACCAACTCACTTATCCCATTCTGTTAAGGAACTGGAGTCCTAATTAAGTTTTAATGAGATCTGAAATTTATGTCTTGCTTAGGCCTTCAAAGCGTCGAATGCAGAGTGTAGCCAATGTCTCCATCCTGGCCATGTTTTCCATGTATCTGCTGACAGCTATCTTTGGTTACCTCACCTTTTATGGTAAGGGACAGTTCCTCTCAGGAAGTACTATTGGGGGTGCCACTTAATTCTCTTTTATACACAGGAAAGGAAGAATTTCCCTCTTTGGTTGACCTCCATGGCTACAAGAGGTATGATGCTTAATTGTTACATGTTTTTGATTGTAGTCCTTCCTTTTATATATTCAGAAGACAGTCTAGAAATAATAGAGGCAAAGCATAAGCATAAATCAATAATATATAATTAATATCTGTTCTTATTAAAACCTATAATAAAACCGAGAGGATTTCTTAAAATTTCCATGGAAATCATGGAAGGAAAAAATATCTGCTACCTTTATGCTTCACCTTTCTTTAAGAAGCAAAAAATATTGTAAACGGATCTTCTCCCCTCTCCAGGGATGGGAGATATTTCTCAGCTGGCTTCACAGTGCTCTTTCTCATCCCATTTGAGAGAAGAAATGAATTCCCATTTGCATTGGTTGAGCCGGGTATTTTAGAACAGCTATCCTTAATGGACTACTCTTCCTCAATAGGAACATACTTGGAAAGAAGAGGAACATTTCAGAAGTCACACCCCTGTAGAGATGTGAATGCTTCTTTTTATATTGGATAAGCAAAATATTTTTGTATGTTATGGCTTCCTCAATTGGCATCTTCTTTTTCTGTGCAAAAGCTAAAATAAAAGGAGTATATATGCCATGGTTTTTTTAAAAAAAAAACATGCAAGCAATAGGATAAAAATACCCTCTTAAGAATGTGTATACATCATAGCTGTCAGATCCAATGGCAACATGACCTGCTTCTAGCCTGTTTCTAAGACATTTCTTGTTCTGATTGTTTCCCATGCAGTTCCATCTTTGGACTAAAGGCAGCACACAGGCTGGAGGACACACACAGGATGTTTCTATTTGAACCGTTTGTTATTTTACCAATGAAATATATAATATAGTCCTTTTAAAGGAAGACAAGAAAGATACTGCAAATCATTCGCATCCATATCTCACAGACTTTGCAGTGAGATGTTCTTGAGCATTTAGCGAAGTGTTCTCCAAGTAAAAATACACACTTCTGAACCTTGTGTAACAAGAGCAGTAGTTGTGTTTTTTAAAGCTTGTACCAAGAAAATTTACATTTAAAACACTTCGTCTCTGGGGAATTAATATAACAAAGAACATCCATTTAAAACAGGACATTTGGATTTTAAACATGTTTTTAAGCATAAATGAAGAACAAGTAGGGGGAAGTCCATATACAGCTACCATATATTAAGGCAATTGAAATTCTAAACCATTTATACATTTTATCAATATCTCTTTAATACAGTGAAACCCCTGAAACAGGCCAAGCTTGCATTGATTTGTAGAGGGTAACAACAACATGATCTTAGTGAAGAAATAAAAGATCAGAGAAGAGCTACAGTGCAAGAGCTATGGTGGAAGTTGTGTTTGCAATTCTTGTAAAGATTCCATAATTCCAGAGCCTCATCTGGAAGGTCTAGTGTCTGAAAATATTCTCTTAAATACCAGGGTTATATATAAAAATTACAAGACAGTTAAAGACTGGGAGTTTTGTTCCCTTTTCTTTTTTTTCAAAATCTTAAAAAGAGGGCTGCCTTTTAATGGTCATAAGTAATATGGAGGCTAGGGCAGAAGGCCACAAAGGGAACGGGGTTGCATTTCATATGTCAGCAAGACTGAATTTGGAGAGTTTCTCTGCTTATTTGTTGTGCTGTGACTACATACTTCAGAGTTTACATGAAAATTTTTATTCTGTTCCTCACCTCAAAAGAATGGGAGAATGAACTTTCAGTAGCCTGATCCAAAGGGGATTCCGTAGACACCCCTCCAAAAGAAATTAAGGGAACATTTGTAGCTTTGAGGCCACAAGGTTTCCACTTCTGTTCTACAGCCTCCACCTTTCCGATATCTAAATGCCTTCCTTCTGTTTTTGCCAGGAAATGTTGAAGCAGAGATGTTGCATACCTACATCAGAGTTGACCCTCTAGACAAGCTTATCCTTTCTGTGCGATTGGCTGTACTCCTAGCTGTGACCCTCACTGTGCCAGTGGTTCTATTCCCGGTAAGATCTTTCTCTCCCATTGTAGCTTAATAATTTACCATCACCCCTCCTTAATCCTAGGCCTGTGTGATTGCTCTCTTTTCTGCTTTTCGACTCCAGGGTCAAGTTTGGAGTTGGCAAATTTAAGCCACTCATAATGGGAATGGGTCCATGGAAAAAAACTTGGCATGTACCTTTATATTAAGGTGTATTGTGCCTAAATTTGTGGGGCACAATACTATAAATATTCTTGCCATGTTTTCTCCTGCTTCCATTTCCATCCTATTTCTGCATTGTACTCTTATTGTAATCAACGGCCTTTCCTCTTACTCTGAGACATAAGTAGCCAAAAGGCAGAAAGACGAATAATAAAAAGCAAACAACCATTGCAGTTTCTTAGAATGATACAAGCAACTTCATGTAAAATATTTCCATAATGATTGCAAAATAGGCTAATTTGTTATCTGCAATAAGAAATGTGAATGGAGAAAAAGTAATGAAACTTCACCAGTCCAAGTAAACTATGCTTCCTCTGAAGTGCCATAAGTTTAGAAAAGCGGTTAAGCAGGAATGTTTTCAGATAACAAACTGCACCACCAACTAAGAAACCACATTTTAGCCTAGCCTGTGAACTCAAGTTATCTGATTTGTGGTCAAGCACAGAAAATTAATATTGATAGTCCTTGCTTAGTGACTCCCTCGTAGAACAACTGTTTGTAATTACCACCGAATGAAAAAATAACTTTGCTGTAGTAAGATCATAAGCATAGTCAGTTTCACCTAATGACTGATTTTCCAATCCCAACTATAGTCACTAAATGAGGATTACCTGTAATTGAGTAAACTATGATTCAATTAATCACGAATAAAGGATGTTGTGTGAACTGAATAGTATGCTTCAATCTCTAACTAGACAATTATTTATATGCCCTTACGTAAAGCAGGTATCTCTTTACATAAACCTCTTTGCTAAAGCCACCCTGTACTCCTAGATCCGCAGAGCCATCCAGCAGTTGCTATTCCCCAAGAAAGATTTCAGTTGGATCCGTCATGTCATCATTGCCTTCTGCCTGCTTTTCATTGTCAACCTCCTTGTCATTTTTGTGCCAAACATCAAGGATATTTTTGGAGTCATTGGTAAGTATGGGACACTTTTCTACCTATGTGAGATTGAAATTTGGTGGGAGGTTGGACTAGATGATCTCCAAGGTCCCTTCCAATTCTGTTCTTCTGTTGTTCTAGGGACCCCAGTAACTGCAATCCCTTGAATAGGAAAAAGTATCTATCAATATATAGAGAAGTAAAATAAGAATTCATTCAGACCACAAGGTGGCGCTGGCGGAATCTCTGAACCTTTGGTTCAAACTGACAGAAAAGACATGCCTTTAAACTGTGTACACATAAAACAATGATTGAGCTTTTTGTAGTTCTAACTAGGCCTTTATTTTATTTCCACCCAAGAAATAGATCCCTGCATCAGATTTTTCCATTTCTGATTCAATTTATTTGATTTACAGTTCGATTCCATTTTAATTTATGGTTTCTATTTTTATTTTATGAAAGTTCCAAGGATGAATTGGGTAGTGAAGAAGAATGATCTTTGCTTTCTCCTCTCCATTGTGGACCATTGTTTCTTGGTTGTCTTCCTTGCCCCAAGGAACTGCCTGCAGTCTCCCAAAACAATAATCCCAAATTCTCCTGGAGAAGGAGGGAAAGGGGAAAATTTGCCCAATCCCATAAAACTAGGGAAAGATATGTATTGGGTGTATCTGAGCCAATCTGGTATTGGGGCGGGGGGGGGGGGGGAGCTGTCGCAGTGTAAATGCTGGGTGGTTATTCATAACATCTGGGTACATTTTTCCTCAGGAGCCACATCAGCCCCCAGTCTCATCTTCATCCTTCCTAGCATTTTCTACATCCGAATTATCCCCAATGAAAAAGAACCACTACGATCAAGACCCAAAATCCAGGTATTGGCTATTGGCAAGCAGGTGGGCAGGGGGCTGTGCAACATGGGAGTTATTCTAGAGAATTGGGCAAAGGCTTCCTTAAAGGCTCAGTGCAGAAGGGTTGGAGCTTATGAGGGAATGTGGCTTTCTGTCCAGGCTCCTTTGATTTTTCTCAATCTTTATAATCACCGCAACAAGATGAGGTGGTTATTTTTGCACCCAGAATTAGTGTGAAACAAAGTTTGTGGAGAAGCGTTTTGGAAGCTAAGGCTGTTGAACCCAAGGTGATTGGGAAATTGCTGGACAGATAGGTTAAGGAATGTTTTCTTAGAGATTTTGTTTGGGTTGCTGAGGGCTGGTGGGGGGGGTCCTCTTGTTCCCTCCTGAAAACTCTGTGAAAAAAAGAGAAGATTGTTATGAGGAATTGTGATTCATGAATCTCTTCCTCCCTTCACAGGCTGCCTGTTTTGCTGCCCTTGGTTTCATTTTCATGGTGATGAGCCTCACTTTTATCATCGTCGACTGGGTAACCACAGGGAAGAGCTCTGGAGTGAATCACTAGCGAAGCCCACTCCTGACCCCAAGAGACCAGGTGGTTCTAACTAGGGAGACCATTCAGTGCCAGAGAAACAGCGATGCCTTTGGCTGTTTTATCCTCACGCATCCTGGAGACACCATAATTACCTGTCCATCACTTTGGAGAAGTGTTGGAAGCCACCCCCCTTGGTGCTATGACAATGCAAAGTAATTTGGAACATCTCCGGGCCTTCGCTACAGTCCTTCTAAGATCTAGGCCTCTAAATCAGAGCCTCTGAATAAGCTCCCTTCATTTGCTGGCTCCTATGGTAGCAGCATTATTTTTCTGGCCTTCACTTTTTTTTGTTCTCCCTGGCGATATTGTGCCATCACCAACAATTGCATGTCTTAGCAAAACCATGTGGGGTTTGGTTTGGGTCTTCTTTGCCCAGGATTACCGTGTTGCTTCTCAACAAGGCTTACTTTGGCTCCTCCCACCATCACCATTCTCCTCTTCCTCCTTCACCTCCATTGTTATGAAAGGAATTTCAGGCTGGTTTGTCCTAATTTGTCACTGTACCAAATGGTGCCTTGATGTCTCAACAGTTGTGACTCCTTATCCTTGTTATCCAAAATGAAAGAGGGTGGGGGCTGGTTGCTATGGAGGCATAGTGTCTGATGTCACTCAGTCTCCTGCCTGATATCACTTAAGACCGCAGCAATGAAACTAACTGACAGCGAAGGAAATGCCATGCCTGGATGGGTGTGATCAAAGCAACGGACAATCTAATTTATTTGCTCTTATTTAATTTCAACCTGGCTACCAGACCAAAGAATATAAATAACATAGCCATCCCAATGCCTATTTGATCCATGCCACGATTCCAGGTTTTTCTGACATAGATGAGGTCTGGGAATCAAGGGAGGAAGGAGAACTAAGGACCCTGGAATCCTGGAAATCTCCCACCTAAGGAGGCAGAGCAGAATGGCTCATGTCGGTACAGCAGGAGACTTAAGGGCCGCTTGCTAGTGGGAGGGGAATGCAACAGCCTCAAATTGTGGGAGAATGTTGTTTGCTGTCTCCTGTCTCTGAATGATGCTACGTTTTTTTTTTTCCCCTGAGGCTATCCAGAAAAGTTAATTCTACATACACTACAACACCATCTGGTGATTTCCCATTGGTGCATCTCCCTAGACCCCAGGGATTAAATTTCTAAGTGCTGCATCCGAGTTTAGGATTCCATTTCTGAAGCATCTGAATGTGAATCTGCTCGGTTAACTTCAAATGGTGCTGAGAAAGCAAAATGATAAGAGCCTTGATTGAAAATTGTTGAAATGACACTAGGAAAAAAAAATTACTAACAGAGAGGAGGCTGTACAGGTAGTCCTCAATTTGCAACCACAACTGAGCCCAAAATTTATGTTGCTAAGTTAGTTTTGCCCCATTTTATGACCTTTCTTGCCACATTTGTTCAGTGAATCACTGCAGTTGTTAAATTAGTAACACAATGGTTAAGTGAATCTGGTTTCCACATTGACTTTGCTTGTCAGAACATTGCAAAAGATGATCACATGACCCTGGCACACTGCAACAATCATAAACGTAAGTCAGTTGTCAAGTATCCAAATGTAAATCATGTGATCATGGGGTAGCCGCAACTTTCTTAAGTGTGAAAAATGGTCATAAGGCTCTTTGTTCAGTGCTGTTTTAACTTCAAATGTTCACTAAGTGAACTGTTGTAAGCTGAGCACTACCTGTATTTGCACAACATACTTAACCAGGCCAATTATAAATCTAATGGCTGAATTTGCATAAAATGCTATACATGACTAGTTTTTTGTGGTTTTACTATGTTGCATAAACCCACCTAGTTAGTTTAGGGCTCACTGTATATGTGAAAATGAGTTAACTGACAAAATTAATTCAGTGACCAATTAAAGTGATATACAAGCCAGCAAGGCATTCTTAGATATTTTTCCCCTTCAGAACTGACACACCAGATTTATTTTCCCCCAACATCTGTATAATGATGTCTTAAATCTCCAGTATTTTTCCCTTGTAATTACTGCTTTTTTCAATTCAGAGATACTGAAGTGGAAGTGAGAGAACATTGGTGGGTTAGTTTTGCTAATCATGGATCATCTTTCATCTGCCTGAACAGGTGTAGTTTTGTTATGTGCAATGAAACTATTAAGGAATTTAACAAGTAATATGTATCTGTATTTCCACTCACATCTTCATAGTCACTGACATGAATCTTTTACATTGCACTTTTCAGAATTTTTTAAAATATTCTCTCTCTCCCTCCTTCCCACCAAAATAGCACTTACATGTAAAGATAGTTTAACAAAACAAAATACTGCTATTCCAGCAGAATATGCCACTTTATTTTTGTATTTTGAGACGCTAATGTGTAATTCACCTTTTTGTGTCATTGAATTAGTCACATTAAAAGGTATCATGGTCAAAACTTGGAAAAGTTTTAAAAAGCTTTCAAGTTGAAAGTTGATACTTTCATGTGAATCGTTAGTCCTGTAATTCCAAAGATTAAACAAACGTCCCCTGCATTATGGATTTCATTGCGATTTTGCATGTCCCTTAACAATGAATGGGTGGAAACTAAATCTTTTGGTAGGAAGGTTGTAAGCCCAGCCTGACAAAGACAATCTCTGTTTCATTATTCATCTTTTTTTTTCATCTCTAGTTATTTGGTATCTTTCTGTGTTTTGTTCCCCTTTCATTTAGCTTTTCCTTATACAGAAATATCAGAAATTATTCTTTATTTTAGGTGTACATTTCATCAAGTGTTAATACCTTGTAGCAATGCCTGATTGCTAATTGCTTGCTCACACTTAAAGGTTATCTTTTTAAATGCACTTACATGACATATCTGATAAAAACTATGTAATGAAAGAAAGCCTGTTAGATTTAAGAGAGTTTGTTCCATTGTCAGAACTCTCAGGAATGTTCCTCTTTTTATAGAAATTATCTTGTAATCTGAACCTTTGGCTTGGGTCATAGCCTCTGAAGCAGAAAACAAATTTGATCTGCCATCTGCACAAGACCCTTAATCTTGACTCTATTATACCACAAATACCTCAGTGTGATTTTGAAAATGAAAGAGAATGGAAGGGTTCCTTTGACTACCCTATCTCTAGTTTATGTAATCAGTTCTGCATTATCTACATTTATTCTTCAGATTTTTTAAAAGCTTTTATTTGCTGCTTCTTTTTATTTATCTCTACTTAAAAAAAAACTGTTAGGGATTCAATATTTTCTTTCCATTGAGAAGGTGAGATTCTGGAGGACCTGATTGAATGATCTGCTCCTTTTGATAATAGTTATGCATTTTCCTCCGAGCAACATAAATCGCACATCGTAGCTTTGCTCTGCTGATTGCCATATGCTAAATGAATAAATCTGCTGATTAATCTATGTAATTTGAAAAGGAAATACTCTTAGAAATACATCAATGTGGTACACATATTGTCCTGAACAACATTATTTGGCGCTGCAACATTCTTAGACAGTACATGGAACAGCTCTCTGCCTTTAAAAGTTGACAAATGGAAAACTTAGATTAAATTAGAAGTAGCTTGTATCTTTACAAAAGGGTGCATATGCTCAGCAAAAATGAGAGCACTGTTCCAAGGTAGTAATACTACTAGGAATGACCCTCCCTCACCCACCCACCTGTAAAGTGTACATAAGTTAACTTCAAATGGTTTAAAGTGTGTTGAGATAGAGTCTGTAAATAGAGATCTAATTATTGGAAATCCTGCTGGTATATTATAATAATTATCCAAACAAGTACAGCAATATTTTATTTTTTGGTCATTCCAGAGGAAACACCCATAGCTTTGCCCCCCGCCCCCCAAAATAATCTGTTATAATCTTGTCTTTTCCTGTTAGAATGAGAAATTGTCATACTTTGTTAGATCATACTTTCTAATATATGCAAATCTTATGATAATGACCAGAATATTCTATTTAATTTTCATGGTGCATTACAAAGTAAGCCCCATGTTTGGTACATTTATTTTCTGCTACATATCTGGTAATATACATTGAACTTTGAAATGCTAAACAGATTCATTACTTGGAGTGGTATTTCATTAGTCCTTCCCAATTGTGGAATAAACTTCATCTTTAGAACAAGCACAATGTCAAAATCTGTTTCTGAACACAGGGCAAAGGAAGGTAGAAGAATTCTGAAGTAGATGGTGGCTTGTACAACATAGGATGCAACACTCAAAGTTTTGCATAAAGAGGGATGTCCTTTGCTGAACCTGATCGTCCTATTGCTGCTCATAATTTATTAGATTTGGAGGAGGAGCAACTTCACACAACATAATCCACCTATGCTTCCTCAAAACCAATGCCACTGATTGTTATGCTGCTCCCATTTAATGGGTAAATGCCTGGGCTTTTTGCTCTTCTTGGCTTACTAACTTTGAATTCACAAGCTGACTATAAGGTGGTCAGATGCAAAACAGGTCCTAATAGCATGTAAAAGAGAAATTCACGAGAAAAGAATAGTTGCTGACACTCCCTCTTCAGTGCAGCTATTGAGCTATTGGAATTTCAAACTTTTTTGCAGCCAGCTGCTTGCACTATATGCATGCTTGTAAGCATCTGGTGAGAAACTGAGGTCACTAATGACTTGAAGCATGCTTATAGCAACACCAAACTACAGTGATGGAAGGCCTGTTAGGGAACAATAATGGTTGGATAATTCTAATAGGCATTTGCTAGTGGGGGAATGGTGGCTTAGCAACTGCAGCCTTTTCTTCCTACCCCAGTAATTCAAAGCAGTGGGAATGCAAGGTGGAACATCTGAATAGCAGCATTCACAATTGAGCTCCTGGTTTGGAAACCTGATACTTTCTGGGAGAGTTTGGCTCTCCGCTGACCTGTGGAAATCCACACCTTCATTTCTTATCCAAATGGAATATGTATCTCACTGCAACACTTCTACTCCACTAGGATCTGGATGGCCTCAGCTTTTTTACTTCTTTATATTTTCATTAAATGGGGCTGGCTTTCTGCTTGGAATAATAATGGGATCCAGATTTAAGGGAGGAGGGAACACATTCAAAATGTGAACTTGATGCAAGGACACAGTATTTGTATAATTTTGGTATTCAATAAAGAACTGTTGACCTTGTACTGTGTATTCAGTTTTTTTTTATTATTATTTAGAATAAACTTCCTTACCCGACTTGGACATGATGGTTTTGCTCATTTATGAGAAAACATAATCCTTTCTATTGAGATACCTGCTATAAGTAAACCTTGTTTAGCAACCCTAATGGGACTCAGCAATTCAGTTCTTAAGCAAAATGGTTGCTTGAGAAATCATAGTTGTGCTTATGATCTTACTATAGCTTTCCTTTGCTTCACAAACCTGGAAGTGTCGTAAATGTGTGGATTTTTCATCACCATCATAGTTGTGAATGATTGTTAAATGAGTCACTAAATGAGGAATAACTATAGAAATGTTTTAAAAAGGAGAGACTCAAATTCAGTTGTATCTTCTGGATTTTGTGTTCTTGACATATTCCACGTCACTGCCAAGTTCAGCACAGGTCTCATTCGGTTTGTTGTGATTAACAACAAAGCCATCTTTGGTGCCATTAATAGTTTAATCTGGAAAGTCTCCTTTTATTAACTGTGACACCACTCGGTATTATGTGTCACTGGAATTGTTATTTTAGAGAACAGAAAAAAAGAGTCCTGAGATGAAATCCTTTTCCCAGGAATTATTTCTTAGTTCTATCTTTGTAACCGTATTTCTGTCCTACTTTGCCTAATGTCCTTACTTGATTATCTTGGAGATTTGCTACATTGGCATACAATTTTTAAACTAAAATTTCAATCCTAATGTTGTGAAGCCCTCAGACAGGTTCCACCCAGCTCTCCTGAAGGTTTCTTCATACTCCCTACAATACACAAAACATCCAATTCCTTAGAAAGTCTGGAGTCAATTCTATTAGGTCTGTGGACAATTATGTCCCCGCATACACCTCTTTTCACGCCTGCCTCTTTTTCTTGCTGCTCAGGCGTCTCCAACCTCCAAGGCTACACAAATGGGAACTGGGCTGCGCAAGTGGCCGGTGAGTGAGAGAAGCTTCATCTACATTGTGTGCAAAACCATTCCCCCACCCCCACTCGGGTCTGCGAAAGACAATTTTTCTTCCAAACCTATCCCTAGTGCTAGAAAGGTTGGGGAATGCTGCATTAGATGATGGTGATAATACACCATGCTTAGAATCACGGAGTCTGCAAGAAAACACGGTTGAAACTTCAATGTGAGAATCTTAAGGAGAGTGATGATTCCCAGGCTCATCCCATGGAAAGAGTTGATTCCTCTCTTCCTCACTCCCCTCCTCCCTTATCCCAGATTCTAAGATCCTTTTGCAGATGAGGTGGCTTGCATCCATGATTCTCTGACCAAGCTTTTTTTTGCATTTTTTGGCTGGAGGCTTTTCAGTGAAGGTGGTTTTCCTTTTACCTTTTCCTTTAGATGCTTTAGAGCACTTTGCTGAATCTGAACACAAGACATGACTACATTGACCATTGCGCTCTGTTGTCATACTGGGCTTTTTGGTAAAGGTGGGGATCCTGGACTGACACACTTTCTTTTCAGTGCCATCTGGGGGAGAGTTCTTCAGGTGCCTTGTTGACAGAAGGCCTTTTCCTGTTATCATTATGTAATTATGGCTGGAAAACATTCCTTGGACAAAGGCTGGCTGAGTCCAAGTGGAAATGGCTGCCCCTCAGTCAACCGAACGCACAACTGTTCTACTTCGTCTATGAGGCACACATAGAAAGAAGGAAGGCCATTAGTCATTCATCTCCTGATCAGCCCTAATAATATACTTATCCAGTGTTATTTGCATTTAGAATTTCAATATACCAGGAAGGAATCCTGTATGGAAAACCAGGGCTATGGTCTGGAAACTGGGAGAGAGTAGTAGAGCTTCAGGCATTTACGGTACTTTTTCCATTATTCAAGGTTTCCATTCGAATGTGCCCATCCTGAAGTCTGACTCTGTAGGACACCTGAATGATTACCACCAGCTCTCTCTCTCTTTTCCTCAGCTTCTCTCTGAACCCAATCCGGGCCAGTTTATGTTTTCCCCAAATTTGAACATACTGTAGAAGGCCACTCACCTTGAAGACTTCGATAAGATTTTGGGGGCTCTACAACTGGTTCTCATGTTCTGTCTGGAAGTCTTCCTGTTATTCTATTCTTCATCCAGTCCCTCTTCAGTTATTTATTTAAAAAGTTTACCCCTCTCTTCTGTGATAACTATTAGTTGCCGCAGGCCTCACATCACTGGAAACAGAATTAAAAACCTATTTCTATATCTTAAAAAACCTTTAGAGTTTTTTAGCTTTAGCAGCAGATAAAAAAACTCCATCGGGTAAAGTGCCAAAAATATGAGTACATCCAATAAAAAGAAGTTGGGAATTTCTGACTTCTTTAGATACGACGCGATGAGAAAGATTGGGAAAACTGATGCTGGCTGCTAATTACTTGAGTATCCAGTAAAGAGTGGTCAGGAAAGCCTGGATCATTGAAAAGTGTTTATTCCTAATATAGATAAAATAAGAATATAATTATGCACAAATTAATACCTGTAAATATTGCACAAATGATTGTTATATGATAAGCACCACAAATACCTGTTATTGAGTGATATATTTTTTATGTTTTTAATGTAATAAAAATTCAATAAAGTTGTTTTTTTTTAAAGAAAAGTGTTTATTCCTGTCCCTTCATTAACCCTGGACATTTTGAGGTAAGAATGATGTCACTGCAGGAGGCCGGGAGCGCATCAACAATTGCTATTGAGAGCTAAGCCTGGGAGGAAAGAAAGTATCACTCACCTTTCCTGGTAGCTGTGATGATTTCTCCCAGTCACCTCCCCAGATGCCTCTCAGATGTCAGTTCGGAGGAGTGAATCAGTCCCAGGCACGTCAGGAGGGATTGCCCACTGGCTCCAAGGCAGGGGTTTCAAGTCCAAGTGAGGGGTAGCAGTTGATGGGAAAGAAACTGGATGAGCAGCCAGCTGAGAGGGATTTGGCTGAAGCATCGCTGCAGCAGGGCAGCCCTGAGGCTTCTGGTGGGGAAGGCACGCAGCAGCTGCAGCCGGTCAGTGATGAGGAAGAGGAACTGCCTTCTGCGCCTGATCCGAGAACACGTAGGGCAGAGAAAAGGAAGGAGCAAGGAAGGTCAGCTTGACTACTTGCGAGGAGGCAGCCTCGTCCCTCTTGATGGGATGCACCAGAAGCTGGCTATTTAGCACAGCAGACAGTTGGAGATGATACTGGGAATAATAATGTATTCATTTCCAAGCTGTATGTTTCCTGGTCGTGGTGATTCCTGCCTTGCTTTGGATTTGACACTGTGCCTTGACCTTGGATTGTGCCTTGTGAACTCTGAACTTTTCTTGCCTCATGAACCCTCTTGGGTTGTGGATTTAAGTTTGCCTGGTGGATTTATCCTGTTTGGGAAACCTTCAAGTGCCTTGTAGACTCATTGGCCATTGCTCTGTGGACTAGCATTGGTCTGCTTTTGGCTGGTCTTAATTGGGACAGATTTGGATTTTGGTGAAGGGAACTGCTGGGAAATATTAATAAACCCACTAATCCACCATTACGGTGTATGTGAGTGAGTGGGACAGCACAGTAGCCAATTGTCACTTTCATAGAAGCAGGAAAATTTCATTTGGGCACTAGATTATTTCTTTTTTCAGTAAAATTTTGTTGAATGGTCAAAAGGTAGCAATCCTCAGTCTGTATACAGGCAGTAGAACTGGTAATATAATGTAAACACCAGTTATTTATAATTTATCTTTTTAAAAGAAAATTCCTACCGTAAGAAAAGAATTAAAAAGAAGGAATATATTGAGAATGTACAAAATGTAAACATCACGTAAGATGTTCAAATAAAATGAAAAAAGACATACCACTATTTTCTTAAAAGTGACATTCAGTTGGAACAAATATAAACAAAAGTTTAACATTATAAGAGCTAATTTTATCTTGAAATCAGAAATTGACCAAAAATAGTAAAGAAGATAGTCGTGGCATGACTATCTTGAGTTATTTCATGCCCCCACCAAGCTACCCAGATAGAGAGCCGAATCAGCGAGGAAAAAGCTAATTTGCTTCTTCCTCAAATTTGATCATAGTGTAGAAGACTGTACACCTTGAGGATTTAGGTAAGATTTTAATGGCTGCAAGAGGTGGTTCTCGTCTTGTATCTATTCAACTGAACAGCCCTCTCTCAATGGAGGGGGAGGAATACGATACCAACTATCTCCAAGAAGATCCCACAACAATTTGCACTCTGATTCAGGTGGCCCTGAGGACACAGGTAAACCCCCAAGTGGCCTCAACTGCTCTCAGAGAGAGTGCTAATGACGAGATGACTAAAAAGGAATATATAATCCAGGGATGGGATTCAATTTTTTTAACAACCAGTTCTGTGGGCGTGGCTTAGGTGGTGGGCGTGGCTTGGTGGTCATGTGACTGGGTGGACATGGCTTGGTGGTCATTTTATTGGCTGGGTGTGGCCAACTCAATATCATTCACATCGAGGCACACATCTCGCCCAGCCTCTCATGACTGTGGGGATGCTGCAACAGTCGTAAGTGTAAAAAATGGTCATAAGTCACTTTTTTCAGTGCCATTGTAACTTTGAATGGTCACTCCACACAAGCAAAGTACCAGCAAAGGAGGAGAAAAATAACTCCAGATAAGTTCCAGAGACAGGAAGTCTACTCCTGCCAAGAATGTAATAAGGGTTAATGGAGAGGCAGTTTCTGTAAGCAACACCAGAATGTTTCCTTCCTGCCTTCCTTACAGGATTAGGCCAGTAATTTCTTCTAACAATCGGTTCTCCGAACTGCTTAGAATGTTAGCAACCGGTTCTATCGAATAGGTGCAAACTGGTAGAATCCCACCCCTGATATAATCCTTCTATTCCTCCCTTGCGACCATCCAGTCAGAATTGAATAAACTTCTTGGATGAGAAGTGAAACCTCTTCCTCAACGAAAAATCATAGTCCATTTACTTTTCTTTTTTGAAAAAGAACCTTTGAGACACTGGTGTTTATTGTTGATTGATGATGGTGATGAGATTGCATGATACATAGCACCAACTTCTAGCATCATCTTTATGTGCAGATGAGTTCCAAAAAGCATTGTTTAAAAAAATGGTTTCGAAGCATATCCACTTGGCTAGAAACAATGAGAAAGAAGCTTAGAGGTGATACCACAAGTCTTGGTTCTGAAGGTTCTACAGAGAATGGAGAAGCATTCTTATTTCTCAACTGCCAGTATTCCGTTATATGAGGATGTGCCGGTTAATAAATAAAGACGATTAATAAATAAATGAAGTTTCTTCTTTCATATACTTTGCAATCCATATCCATTTAGTCAATCATGCATGCACTCTTCTTTTCCATGCATTTTCTCTCCCTCAACCACATCTCCCCTATTATTATTAGACATTGAGAAGTGCAAAGATCCAGCAGTTCTGCCCCTGAGAGCAATCTTCTCTTAAATTCAAATAAATATTGAGAAATCATAGGGATGTATTTCACAAAATATATGTGTATACTTTTCTGGACAGTTTTATGACCTCACCCATTTCCCATCCCCCAAAGTATGAGGAACTGAATATGATTTCATAATTCTTTTGCTTAGATTACTATTCAGTCACATTGGTCTAGTAGTGAAGGCACCAGCTAAAAACTAGGAGACTGAGTTCTAGTCTTGCCTTAGGCATGAAAGCTATCTGGGTGACTTTGGGCTAGTCAGTCTCATGCAGTCCAACCCATCTCACAGGATTATTGTTGTTATGAGGAAAATAGGAAGGAGTATTAGGTATGTTTTCCCCTTAAAAAAAATCACAGCATTTATATTTATGGGACATAAATACTTTGAAAAACTATAGAATTAGTGTCTGAGCAATCTGTGCTTTTTAAGGATAGTACGAGCATTTTTGTGGACCAAATACTTTTGTTTCTTAGAGAGATGGGCATTTTCCGAATCCTGCACCCACCTAATCTGCTCTGGCTTCTCTTTGTACATCAGTTTCTCTCAGCCTCCGGGGTTGCCGGGTCTTTGAAACAAGATAGAGAAGCCATCTATCTCTGGGTGATTCTGGTGGTTTGTTAGCTTCCTGTTCAAAGAAGCCTTTACAACACGGAAGTTCACTTTGTAAGAGCCTTCACAACCTGACAAGGGCTGAGATGAGCCGAAGAACCAAGCCTGAAGGCCGAGCGCCGCAGGAAAATGTGCCTTCCTGCCTCCTTGAGGATCTTGAAAACCACCAAGTATTCGAACTTTTGGGCAGGAAATGCACGGTAATTCCTGTTATTATTCAAGGGAGGAAAGATCATGGCAGAATGTAGAATATTCTGTGAATGGGATAGAGGGAGGAGCTTATATCTGGGAAACGGGGTGATTATATGCTGGAATTTCATTGATGAAGTAGGATGAAGAATCACTTGGATGTTAAAGAGCCTATAGGTGAACCCGTGTCCGATTTTCAGCATTATCTTCCTCCTAGAAAGTTGCTCAATGGATAAATAAGAATGTACTAGAAAATTAGCAGCATTAGCAGGATCATTACAAATTTGGAGCTGATATAGATTGGATTGGGTTGGCTTAGTGTATAGAGAGATTTGCCTTACAGCCATCGTGGCATTTACAGAATTCAAGTAAGCACGTCTCCTAAAAGTCAATTCCTGCTCATTACATATTTCAAGTGTGTTAATCAGTCTGAATATTTACATTATGGTCTTTCAATCAGTAGAAATAACAATTGCCTCAGTCAAATTAGCTGACAATACTTTTAATACAGATTGTGGAACCTTTGGGAAATTTTCTCTTTGTTTTTTAAATCTCCCCGAACGTCCATGCAGAAGCAAGTGGAGTTTTTTTAAAAATGCTGAAAACAACAGCTTGCTTTGTGAAGAGCCACATGCTGCCTCAAGGCAGGAAGTGGGGAGAGAAAACCACTTCCTCAAAAGGCCTAGCAAAAAGCTCTGGCCAGTTAACTGACACACTGCCTGTCCTCAGGTGGTGGTGGGGGGAATCATATCTCCCCTGTGTCTTGCTGAAAAATAGTCTAGTTCAAAACAATGAGCCAGACAACAGAAGAGGAAATTGCCTTGGTTCTCAATGAAGTTGTCAAATAATATTTCCTTTATTTTGAATTATTTGCCACATCAGGCCCCATGACTGCATGACAAAATCAGTTTAATTGCTGCAATGTCCTTGCAGTGTCTTTTGGGAATGATAGTTTGGGGGGTATATTGAGAATTCTCAGTTGGCTACTCTGTCAACTTTAAAATTTGAAGTATCAAAACTGGGTATCAAAACATTAAACAATATTAAGGAATAAATAAACAGCATTACAGAAACAAGCACCTCCCCCCGCTCTCGCTCTCTCACAGACACATGCATAGATAACCAGGATTAGAAACCATAGCCAGGAATAAGAACAGCTCAGCTCACATTTTAAATCAAAGTGAAATCATTCCATTAGCTTATTTTCTAATTCAAAGCATTGTCTCTTTTAGCCTCCAAAATATTCTGAAATATTGTTTGATTCCAAACTAATGTATGTATGTATGTATGTATGTATGTATCTATGTATCTATGTATCTATGTATCTATGTATCTATGTTATTCAGCTTTGTTCGGGTATTTTCCCACGTCATTATAGTTGTGCTTTTAAAGTTGTAGCAACATTTCGGCAGAATCTCATCTGCCATCATCAGGCTTCTGTATTGTGTTCGTCTGTTGTAAGTAAGTACATGTAAGTACCCGCTATATATATATAAAAACTTGGATCCTAAGAGAATGTGTAGAGTTACTTTTTGCCTAAAGTGCTCCAAAAGATGCCTCATATAGTTCAGCCTGGCTTATATCCAATTATATAAACTTATATAAACTTGCTTCTTAATGCTCATGCATGCTCTTTTGGAGAATAAGGGTCTCTTCAAACATTGCAAAATGGAAAGAATGGGAACTGGGCACTGGAAGAAAGTAGCATTTCTCCAAAACAATATTTTGGATGATTCCACTCACTTCCAGAAGCTATTATTAACATCCCAATCCATCCATCCATCCATCCATCCATCCATCCATCCATCCATCCATCCA